AATGGACTGAATGCTCCAATTAAAAGACACAGAGTAGCTGATTGGATAAGAAAGCATGACTCATCTATATGTTGTTTACAAGAGACCCACCTCACAACAAAAGACTCACATAGGTTGAAAGTGAAGGAATGGAAAAAAACCTTCCAAGCAAACAGAAAGCAAAAAAAACCTGGGGTAGCAATACTCATATCTGATAAAATAGATTTCAAAATGAAGGCCATAACTAGAGACAAAGAAGGCCACTACATAATATTGAAAGGATCTATCCAACAGGAAGATATAACCTTGATAAACATATATGCACCAAACATAGGAGCACCAAAATATATTAAAAATCTTCTGGAGGACTTCAAAGGAGAAATCGAGAGCAATACAATCATAGCAGGGGACTTCAACACCCCACTGACACCACTGGATAGATCCATCCTCTAGACAAAAAATTAGCAAGGAAACAGACTCTAAATGAAGCACTAGACTAAATGGATTTAATAGATTTCTACAGAGAATTACACCCCAAAACTACAGAATTCACATTTTTCTCAAGTGCACATGGGACATTCTCAAAGACATAGCACATGATAGGACACAAACTAAATCTCTACAAGCTCAAGAAGATTGAAATCATATTAAGCATCTTCTCAGATTACAATGGTATGAAACTAGAAATCAATTGCAACAAAAACATGCAGAGACATTTCAACACATGGAGGCTAAATAGCATGTTATTAAACAATGAATGGGTTACTAAGATCAAGGAAGAACTTAAAAACTTCCTGGAAACCAATGAAAATGAACACACAACAACACATAATCCATGGGATGCAGCAAAAGCAGTTCTGAGAGGGAAGTTCATAGCACTACAGGCCTACCTCAAGAAACAAGAAAAATTTCTAATTGACTCTCTAACCTCACAACTTAAAGAATTAGAAAGCAAACAAAAAGAAAACCCCAGAGCAAGTAGAAGGAAGAAAATAGTAAAAGATCAGAGCAGAAATAAATGACAGAGAGACCAAAAACAAAAAAACAAAAAAAACAATTCAATGAATCAATGAAACAAAGACTATTTTGGTGATCATTTTGCAATGTATACAAATATTGAATCATCTGTTGTACACTTCAAACTTACATGGTATATGCTGATTATACCTCAATTAAATTTTTCAATGAATCATTTTAAAATACATAACTCAATAGCATTTAGTTCATTGGCTCACATCTGTTGGAACCCTCTAGTGACTTTTTTCATTTGTTATAACTTTCAGCTCCAAAGTTGTATGATTTTTTTGGATTTTTTAGAGAGAAAGGAGGAGAGAACATTGATGTGAAAGCATCAGTCGGCTGCCTCTTGAACACCCCCTGCCAGGGACTGAGCCTGCAAGCTGAGCATGTGCCCTGACTGGGAATCCAACCTGCAACCTTTCGGTGCACAGGACAATGCCTGACCAATGGAGCCACAAGGGCCAGGGCTTATATGGTTTTTTAAAAGTTTATTTATTGATATTCTCTATTTGTTCTCTTGGATTCCTTTAACTCTGTGAGCATATTTAAGTCCAATGTTTGTGCTTCCCAGGGATAGTTTATCTAATTTCTTCTTTGAATGGGCCAGGCCATACTTTGTTTCTTTGCACGCTTCTTAGTTTGGGGTTGAAAATAAAACATTTTGAATATTATAATGTGGTTACTCTGGAAATCAGTTTTTTCATGCTTCCAGGTTTTTGTTGCTTACTGTGAGCTGTAACAATTTGTTTCGTGATTTTTCTAAACAATTTTATTTTGTAATGTCTCAATTCTTTGACATAATGTAGCCTCTGAGGTCTCTTCCTTTTGCTTGTGTTCAGCTAGTGTGTTGACAGATTTTCTTGAATGCCAACTGCCAAAAAATAAATAACTAAAACAAGAATCTTAGAAAAAGATCCTCCCCGTCTTTGCGTATTGGCTGTGTCAGAGCACAGCTTCAATGCCTAGGCAGGCCATTTCCATCTGCCTTCACTTCTTGATTGTACTGATCCTGGTTATCAGCCAGCAGTAAAAGCTTAGGATTTTCTCAGGTCTCTTCTAAGCATGCAACTTAGCCTAAACATAAAGGGCTTCCTCAATGGCCCAGTCAGTATACAGTGGTTTTTGAATGGTCTACTTTTCCTTAAGAAATTCTTCCCATTTTTTTCCCCTCAAGATTTAGGCACTCCTCTATTTACTTCAACTGTAATCTTTTGCCCCAGGTGGCAGGTTGTTCATTTGCCTTACGATATTTTAAAGAAATACCTGCCACTTTCCCTACCCAGTTCTGAGTTAGATGAAACAAAGGGAAGTGCCTTGCTTCAGTCCTGTAGGAGGCACCAGATAGGTTAGAACGATTGTTTGAGATTATCGTATCTCCTTCCTTAGGACCAGGAACCGGTGTCACTGGAAATGTGGGTTATCTTCAAGACCACCACAGAGCTGGGAAAGGGAATGGAACAAGGACAAGTTAAAACACTAACAAGCTTTCCTAGTGTTTAGCTTGCCTTTTTCTTGGTTCAGCATTTTCTGGTTGCTGTAAACGTTTCCCAGAATCCAGACAAAGTTGTTCTGAATGGTTTTTCTTTTTTTTACCTCTAAGAAGGCATGGGTCCTTGAAGCTATCTACTCTATTTTTACCAATGGTTATTTTTTGACATTGTACATGTAAATTTGTAGAGCTAATTTAAGACTCTGAGTGTTTAAATTCTCCAGAGATTTTTGCTTTTGTCAGGTAGTTAAACTCGTTGCATTAGTGTTCATAGATAACTTCAAAACATTTGGGGAGTGGAATGACTTAAAGCCGGACTTCAGGCCCTGTGAGGGCCAGTCTATTTCCCATCACTCTTACAACAAGGTGTAGCTCTTTGGAGTGAAAACTAAATCCTGGGATCTTACCAAGGTCCTTCTTCCTTGGTGGTTTCTGTGTAGTTTTAGAAATTTTAATACAATTTGCTTAACTCTGAAAATATACCGATTGCCAAGTAAGAAATCATGGGTCAAGCAAATTAATGTAGAAACCAAATTTATTAATCATGGATTTTTCTGAGGGCAGTTTATTTTATTGGATATTAACCATAGCTTATGTTGACCTCTAGTTTTGTGGAGAAATATCATTTTTATAAATACTTCTGTAAGGTAAATTTATTCCTTGAATTAGCACATTTTCTAATTCTCCAATAGGGTTTGGTTTTATTTAGCTATCAAAGTCAAACTTCTCTAAATTTATATGTAACGTGGGCACAAAATGTATTCTTTGTGCATATGGTAGCCCCTCCCCCCAACTACCTGCTGGGGAAACATTCCACCACCACCACCACCCTGTGGACACCTGACACCAAACCTAATCAACTTTAAATCTGCCAGAAACGTGGTAGCATCTTCTTCATCAGTAGACACAGCCTCTCTAGTATAATTTATATATTTTTTAGTCCAAACCTATTTCAGAATGTTTAAACATCCCCGACTTGCAGTAAATAGCTTGGTGTTATTCAGTTCAGAACTTTAAAGGTGAAGAGGTCATATAGGCTCGATGTTTTCTGGCACATTTGCTGTTCACATCTTCCACCCACAAATGAAATGCCTTTTCCATCTTAACTAAGCACTTATCAAACACTGTGGCCGTAACTTTTGCAGCTTGATATGACAGCACAACTGGCACAAATTTCTTTCCTTTTTCACAATTTTGCAGACAGAAAATTTGTTCTTAGCATAGATCTTAGCAAACTCAGATTATTTTTCACTTAAAGGATGAACCTTACATATTCTCTTTAGCATATCTACATTGCCAGCATCAGTACTCTTACATTTTGGGGACATCAAGTAAAATAAGGGTTACTTGAACACAAGCACTGCTATACTGCAACAATCTGATAATGGAGACTACTATTAACAGACCATATAGAGTGGGACGGAGTAGAGCGGCGTGAGATTTTACCATGCCACTAAGAAAGGCACGCAATTTAAAACTTATGAATTGTTTATTTCTTAAATTTTCCATTTAATACTTTCAGACCGTTGTTAACTGTGGATAACTGAAACCCCAAAAGCAGAACCGTGGATAATGGGGGACTAATTAATTCCTTGTAAGTGTTCTGGTTCTTCATGCTGAAGTGTCTCAACTTCCAGGAATTTGGTTGCCAGATCAAAATTGTCAGAGCTCTTCTAAATATTAAGATTTCAACAGAAAAAATACACATATACATATTTTATTATATACAAAGAGCAATAAAAAGTTTTATCGGGTAAACAAAAGAATACAAATTATAGTCATAATTAATAGCTTCAAAAAGCCCTTTAACCACTGTGACTTTCTGCATACGACACAGGCATTAAATGGGGTCACACAGCCATTAATCAGATCTCGGTAGTTCTCTCGTAATAGCAATCTATATTCTAGAGAAGCTGGCTTTTTATGAACTCTGCGGAGGCTCACGTGTTAGGCCTCATAAAGGAATTACATGCTTTCATATGCAGGGGGAAACACATTAAAAAGTTGAAAAGGACCTTCTAGGGTTATCTTTATTGTTGACAGTGATTTGAGAAATAACCATAAAAAAGTATTAAAGATAGCGAGGTAAAATTCTGGCTGTCTCATAATAATAATGAATACCAATGTGGAGCTCTACAAATGGTTTATTGACAAATAAAATAGGAGAAAGTGAGCTAAGAAGGCAGAATGGAAAAAATCTGGGGAAGGAGGCAAGCAAACATATACACAATCCAATCATAGCAAAAAAAGAAAGGAGATGGTCCTTCCCAAGATCAAACACTGGCAATATTTCCCTATTAAAGTTCAAGCCACAGAAGAATAGTGCAGCTTCTATATATTTGCTATGAAGTAATAGATAAGCAAAATGATTTTCATTTGTTATAAAATGACATTTTTATATCAAAAGCTACATACACAGTAAACTACAGAGAAATGACAGAAAAAATGGGAAGACATTAAATTCAACTAAACTTACAGCACTACCTTGACATTTTCTATTTGTTTTTAATCTATACACAAAGCTCAAGTTGAGGTTACAGGTTTTATTTTTAATTTTTCTTAAAAATAAAATGAAAACCCCTCAAGTTAACTAAAGATTTATCTGGGCTCGTAGAGGTAATCTGCTCTTTGTAACAGATTGTTCAGTAGTTTCTTCTACTTTAGACCTCTCCACTGGATTAATTCCTTTGTTTTCTTTGTCTTTTCCATATGATTTTTTATGCTGTGGATTTAAGGGGGAGAAATGAAGACAATATAAAGTAACACTTAATACATATTAGTTATACTCTATTCAAAGTTCTCTGGATTCTAGGAAATAAATTATGTGTGAAGAACTTCCAAAAAGACTCGGCACAAATTTGAACCAACAATCTGTCTGGCAAGTAGAAATGAATGTCTGCGCCATTTTACCACCAATGGAAGGAGTGGTGTAAAAGAAATATTAATTTGCTGTATGATATTCCAAGGCATAATTATAGATTTTACTGTGGACAGTGATTCTCAACAGGGAGTAATTTTGCCCCTCCTCCCCCACCCTAAGAGACATTTAAGACATTTTTGGTTGTTAAAACTAGGGAGTGCTACTGCTTCTTGTGGGTAGAAGCCAGAGATACTGCTAAACATTATATAATAAACAGCACACAGAACCGGCCACCAAAAAAGTACTGTCCAGCTCAAAATGTCAATAGTGCTGCTGTGGGAAAACCCTGTAGGAAACAGAGATTTGCTATCATGCAAAAAAAGGCAATACTATTTTAAGAAGAGAATCTGATATATGGGCTACCTCAAGACACTTTTTAAAAAAGTTTATCTTATTTTTTATTTAAACTTATTTCATATTTCTCATTTAGAAGTGTACACTTCATTGGAATCCATAATCATGATAGACCCAGTCATCAATGCTGAGGCAAATCATAAACTATTTTAGAGTTTTAACCCAGAACCCTCACCCCCATCAGACTACTATGAGAGAAAAAAATCATTTCCAGACTTCATCTGAAAGTCTAAAAATCCAATCCCAAATCCTTCTAGTACTGTAGAGACTTCCTTGCCATAACTGAGCCACTAAGCCTGGCCTTCAAAATGCCTTAAACAGTAATAATGAACTGATTTCCAAACAGTAATTAACTTATTTTAACTTTCCCCCTTTTCTTAAATTTGTAAGATAGAGAAGGTTGAAAAATGGAAAAAAAAAAAAAACAAAACAGAGAGAGAGTTCTCTGCTGGTAAAAAATTAAGAAAAAAAGAGCCCTGGCCAGTTTGGTTCAGTGGTTGGAGCATTGGCCTGCAGACCAGAGTCCTGGGTTTGGTTCCCGCTAGGGGCACGTACCAAAAAAAGAAAAAAAAATTGGGGAATGAAATTGCCTTGAGGCAGACAGAGATGGATTTAATAGAACTCGAGCTAGAAATTTTAACAGCTTAATTTAGGGATGGAATCTTTTATCTTTGGTGGAAAGACCTGCAAGTCTGTTAGAGACAGGTATAATGCATATACATGTCAGAAGCAGCACTTCAGCTGTAAAATGGAGACATTAATACCCTATGTAAGGAAACCCTTACGTCCCAGACTGTCAAGGCTCATGTCTTCGAAATAGAGGAAAAGGAGTTAGGCAGTTTATCGTGCCATATTCCCAAAAGTGTTTAAAATGGGAAAGGAGCCCAGCCAGTGTGGTTCAGTGGTTGAGCGTTGACCCATGCACCAAAAGGTCACCAGTTCAATTGCCCTTCAGGGCACATGTCCAAATTGTGGGCCAAACCCCTAGCGGGGGGCATGCAGGAGGCGGCCAGTCGATGTTCTCTCTCATCAATGTTTCTATCTCTCTCTCCCTCCCTTCCTCTCTCTCTAAAAATTAATAAAGAAAAAAAGTATTAAAAATAAATAAATAAATAAATGGGGGCAGGAGTTGTCACAGGATTTAACTGTACAAGACCAGAGCAGGCGAGGAACTCAGGAAACATGGGAGAATCGTTAACAAGAGCAAAGCCTCAGGCAAAAGCAATCATTAATGTAACCCCAGAGGCCTTTGGTCTGTCAATCTTTTAAACCTCATAGCCCTCAAAGTCTGATGATGGGCAGAGATAGGCTCCAGGACTTCTATGTCAAAGGTGGAGGGAAGAGAAATGACTGTTGTCAGTACCTAGTCTGAGTATGTACGAAGCAGAAAAGGGATAGTTGAAGATTATCAACTGAAGATGGAGATTAAGTAAAAATTTGCCTTTATTTATACTACAGAAAACCCCTGGTACAATGATCTAATTTGTGTAAATATTTTAAATCAGAGAAGTTAACAAGCCATTCCAAAGGATGGCTGAAAATATTCTGCCGTTTGGCCAAGAGTAACACCTTTATGTTACTAGCAAGTGATGACTTACACCAGAGGTGGAAGGCTTATCTGATAGGATATAATCAAGTACCTGGAAAAATGGAACCCCACCACTTGATGAACAATCCACACTAGCATCTACAGATGGCTCTTGACTTGGAGGTTCTTCAACAGTGTGCTCCAAAACTGTCTTTTCTTCATCGGAGTCCTAAAATAAGAAGCTGGATGGGTGATTTAGTCCAAGGACTTAAAAAAATCTTCCCAAAAGTAAAGGCAGTTTTTTTTCAGAGATAACACAATATCCATTGTATAAAAGTTAAACCTCAACAAAATCAGTTAGTGTACAAACTAATGAAAATAATCCCTAATATGTCTTGATATAGAGAAGTACCTAAAATAAAATGTTAAAAGTAGTATTCTCAGAATAATGGGATTATAGTTTATTTTCTTCTTTGTTACTTTCTGATTTCCCAACTCTTCCATAATTACTATACCTCAGAGCACAGATTGTGGAGCTTGTCTAGGTTCTAATTCCAACTCCATTCTTGTGACTTGGGACAATATAATTCTTAGTTTCCTCACCTACAGGATGGGGATAGCACTAGCATCCTCCTCACAGGGTTATTGAGAGAATTAAATGAGTAAATATATATGTAAAGTGCTTAGAACAGTGTCTGGCACAAAAGCACAATGTAAATAGTAGATATTATTATCCATTAGTCTAATAATTAAAAAATGGCCAGAGTAAAAGAAACATGCTTAATTGTCAAGCAATTATAATGAATGAGAGACAGGGTAGGATAGAAAGGCAAAGAATAAAATTCTTCACATGACGCTGATGACATCAGGAATTTATGGGAGAGCTCTAAAATTATGAGTCTTTAAATTTTACCTGACTGGTGTCTTCTTTGTTGTTTTCTGAACAGCTTAACATCATTAACAGCTCAGGCTGTTTCCTTTTCAACTGATCAAGGAGCTGTTCACGTGGTTCAGTTCTCACCAGTGTTGATGGATATACATAATTTCTCCTCTGTGGTGTCGTACCTTTAGTAGACATCATTTAAGTTGGAAAAATTGAAGTGTGGGATATGAATAAGATGTTTTTTATAAATGCCAGAACTTATACTAGTCTTGTCACCTATCAGGCATATACTGCTTACAACTAATATTTCCTAACTTGACAACTGATCATAAATAGACACACAATTTGTTTTCAAGAATCAACCTACCCTCAAACATAAAATTTTTACATCTAGGACTGTACAAAAGATGTGTTGTAGGCTCTAAAAGGAATCAGAATATTCTGATAAAAGGCAGCATTATTGGAATAAGAGTAGTTTTCTCAACATGATCACACTTTGATAGGGATGATCATTTCACTGTAAGTTTGGTGGGAGCTAAATATAAACCAATTACATTTCTTTTTAATGAACACATGTTCTCATACAAGGGCACTCACCTTTTTGCTTAATATTTATATTCCTAATTTTATTGAAAACTAAACAAAAAAATTACAGGACTCTTGGGAAAAAATAAAATAATATTTAGCACCAAATCCTTTTATAATTGCTTTTAAAAAAAGCTTTGCCCTGGCCAGGTTGGCTCAGCGGTTAGAGCGTCAGCCTGCAGTCCAGAAATACCCAAGTTCAGTTCCCACTGAGGGCACATGCCTTGGTTGCAGTGTGTCCCCGACCCTGGTCGGGTCATGCGGGTGGCAGCCACTCAATATGTCCCTTTCACATTGATGTTTCTCTCTCCCCTCCCCCCCCCACTGTATCTGAACAAAAAGTAGAAAAATGTCCTCGAGTAAGGATAAAAAAAAAAAGCTTTTAAGTAGAATTTATATACCATAAAATTTACTGAATTGTTTTTTAGTAAATTTCCGGGGTGTGCAACCATTGCCACAATCCAATGAATAACTCAATTACTCATCCTGTGCTAAATAGCTTGTTATACCTTCTTCCATGATGGCTTCCCTGAATCCTTGTAGCCTACACTGGTATTTGCAACCTCTGACCTCCCAAAATTATGATTCATAAATGTCAATCTAACAGCCCATGACAAAATGAGAGGCACACATAAGACAATGCAGCCTTAGCCAAATAGTTCGGTTGGTTAGAGCACTGTTCCAATATGCAGAGGTTGTGAGTATGATTTCCAGTCAGGGCACATACAAAAATCAATCAATGAATGCATAAGTAAGTAGAACAATATATATTTCTCTCTCTCTCTAAAATCAATAAAAAAAATAATGAAAAAAAGAGGGGACTTCCGGTCAAGATGGCGGCGTAGGTAAACGCGGTATCACATCCTCCCACAACCACATCAAAGTTACAACTAAACTACAGAACAACCATCATTCAAAGCCGCCTGAAATCAAGCTGGATGGAAGTCCTACAACTACGGAATTAAAGCAGCAGCCACATCCAGACTGGTAGGAGGGGCGGAGGCAGAGGGGCTGGTCCCACACCCACATGTGGCGGATAAAAATCAGGAGGACACCTTGGCTGGGAAGATCCTCCCTGAGGACTGAGGGGTCCCACACCAGATGCCCCACTCAGGATTCCAGTGCCAGGAAGAGAAGTCCCCATAACTTCTGGCTGGAAAAACAATGGGAACTGAGGCTCAGGGAGGCTGAGGCAGCTGGAGCCCCAGGCAGCTCCTTAAAGGGCCCGCGCATGGACTTAGCGGACTCACTCCCTCTAAGCTCAGAGGGGAGGCAGCTCGAGGGGCGCCAGAGACATACAGGGAAGAACTGAGCTGTTTGGCACTGGAGTGAGGGCTGGAGAGGGGGCTTTCTCCAGGAAAGATGTGCTGTCAGAGGCCTTTGTTCCTTTGGTGAGCCCTTCCCTGGGGTGGCAGACAGCCGCCATATCTGGGACTCCTAACCTGGTTGCCCCGCTCTGGTGATTCCCTGAGGCCCTGCCCCACCCAACTTTCAGGCCCACCCAAGCTGTTGCCAGTTGCTTTACCATAGGATTGGCCTGTCTTGGATCCTGCTTCAGGTTTTCCTAAATTCTTTCAAACAAGCAGCATCTGGTCTTAGATAGCCCCATACCTCTAGTTAAGTAATACACAGAAACAAACACAGGGAGGCAGCCAAAATGAGGAGACAAAGAAACAGGTCCCAAATGAAAGAACAGAACAAAACCCCAAGAAAAGAACTAAGCGAAATGGAGATAAGCAATCTAACAGATGCTGAGTTCAAAATACTGCTTATAAGAAAGCTCAATGAACTTAGTGAGGGCCTCAAGAGCATAAAAAAGGACCAGTCAGAAATGATGGATGCACAGTCAGAAATGAAGGAGGCATTAACTGAAATAAAGAATAATTTACACAGATTCAATAGTAGAGTACGTAAATCCAAGAAGCAAACCACTGATTTGGATATAAGGAAGCAAAAAACACCCAATCAGAACAGCAAAAAGAAAAAAGAATCCAAAAAAATGAGGATAGTGTAAGGAGCCTCTGGGACAACTTCAAGCGTACCAACATTCGTATTTTGGGGGTACCAGAAGGAGAAGAGAAAAAACAAGAAGTTGAAAACCTGTTTGAAACAATAATGGCAGAAAACTTTCCTAACTTCGTGAAGGAAACAGACATACAAGTCCAGGAAGCACAGAGTCCCGAACAAGATGAACGCCAAGAGGCCCACACCAAGACACATCATCATCAAAATGCAAAACGTTCAAGACAAAGAGAGAATCTTAAAAGCAGCAAGAGAGCCCTGGCCAGTTTGGCTCAGCGGTTAGAGCAGTGGCCTGCGGTCCAGAGAGACCCGGGTTCGGTTCCCACTAAGGGCACATACCTCGGTTGCAGTTCATCCCCAGCCCAGGTTGGGATGTGCGGGTGGCAACCACTCGATGTGTCCCTTTCACGTCGATGTTTCTCTCTCTCCCCCTCCCACTCTACCTGAACAAAATATGGGGGAAAAATAAAAAAATAATAATAATTAAAAAAAAAAGCGGCAAGAGAAAAGCAGTTAGTTACCTACAAGGGAGTTCCCATAAGGCTGTCAGCTGATTTCTCAAAAGAAACTTTGCAGGCCAGAAGGGAGTGGCAAGAAATATTCAGAGTGATGAAAAGCAAGAACCTACAACCAAGATTACTCTATCCTGCAAAGCTGTCATTTAGAATCGATGGCCATATAAAGAGTTTCCCAGACAAGAAAAAGTTAAAGGAGTTAGTTCATCACCACCAAATCGTTATTATATGAAACATGAAGGGTCTTTTTGAAGAAAAAGATAAAATATATGAACAAAAATGGCAATGAATATATATCTATCGACAATGGAATCTACAAACAAAATGAACAGGCAGAACAGAAACATTCTCATAGATACAGAGAACATTCTGTTGGTTGCCAGATGGGAAGGGGGTTGGGGGAATGGGTGAAAAAGGTGAGGGGATTAAGAAGTACAAATTCATTGCTAGACTGACAAACCTCAAAGGGAAAGGGGTTGGGGGGGGTGGGAAGAAATAAACCAAAGAACTTATATGCATAACCAATGGACACAGACAATAATGTGGGAAAAGGCAGGAGGGGGGCGGGAGTGGGGAGGAGGGTGTCAATGGGGAAAAATGAGGAACATCTGTAATACATTCAACAATAAAGATTTAAAAAAGAGCCCTGGCCAGTTTGGCTCAGCGGTTAGAGCGTCGGCCTGCGGTCCGGAGAGACCCGGGTTCGTTCCCGCTAAGGGCACGTGCTCCGGTTGCAGTTTGTCCCCGGCCCTAGTTGGTCGTGCGGGTGGCAGCCACTCGATGTGTCCCTTCACGTCGATGTTTCTCTCTCTCTCTCTCTCCCTTCCTCTCTCTCCCTCCCACTCTATCTATACAAAAAATGGAAAAATATCCTCGGGTGAGGATAAAAAAATAAAAAAAAAAAAAAAAAAAAAAAAAGATTTAAAAAAGAAAAAGAAAAAGCACACTGTGATGCGCTTTGCATTAAAGCAGATTTAATTACATTCCTCTAATTTTTATAAACAAAAATAAAGCAATGTAATTAAATAAATTACAGTGCTACATGGATGTTTGATTTTCTTTTTATTTATTTTTAAAATGTCTACTCTTAAGACAAAGCCAGTTCCCTGAATGTTTGTAAAATTTTGCTGAACTGCGATGCCCACATTTTTAGATGTGTCATCTATATCATATCTAATGCTTAGTTAAAGCTATTTTAGGGTTCCAATTTTTCCATATTTGAGTTGTTTACATGTGATGGTAAATTCCTAGCAGGTAATGGTAGGACCTAGTTTTTTTTTTAACATCTTGCACTATATAGGTTGAATTCCACTTTAAACATTTTAACAGTTCTGTTTCCCTCTTAAAGTACCTGTTGGGATATCCATTTTCAGATCCTGTTGTAGAAAGCAATTAAGCTTAGTCAAACCAATTTTTATGGTTTCATTAAGTTCTAGACTTTGTGCCATTAATTTTTCTTCATCAATATTTATCTGACCAAGAAAAATGTTACGCTGGTTCTCATTAGCTTCTTTATGTCCATTTAATTTTTCAGTAATCTCTGAACTTGCAGCCTTACAACCTTGGTTCACAACCTGTAAAATGATGCAAATGAGCCATTATTATTAAAACCAAAGTTGTCAATATATCATTTCCCCTTACCTTAAATTTTTCTATAAAAATTTTAAAATCACATGCAAAAGTAAAGAATTAATCCCCTTGTATTCACTACACAGCCTCAACATTTATAAACAAATGGGGTAAAGGATCGAATAAGATTGGCCATTTACTCCCCCACCCCACCTCCAGGATTATTTTGAAGCAAATCCTGTGTCATTTCATCAATTTACTTCAGTATTCATCTCTAAGAGTTAATAGCTTTTTAAAGACCATTCTCACATCAAAAAATTTAACACTGACTTCCTTTTTTTTCTTAATCCTCACCTGAGGACATTTTCCTGAATTTATCTTCAGATAGAGTGGGAGGGAGAGGGGGAGGAAAAGAGAGAGAACCATCAACGTGAAAGAGATACACTGAGTGGTTGCCACCCACACAACCCCAACCAGGACTGGGGACAAACTGCAACCGAGGTATGTGCCCTTAGCGGGAACCGAACCTGGGTCTCTCTGGACTGCGGGCCAACACTCTAACTGCTGAGCCAAAATGGCCAGGGCTCCTAAGTCTTTCTGACACAACCCCACTAATCTTTAATAGCTTCCTTACTGTTTGGTATGACAAGATCTCTAGGCTCATCTGGTACATTTCCTGCCTCAAACCTAAAATCAGCTATTTCTCCATTAGCTCTGGTTCCTTTCAATGAAAATAGCTTATGCAGCTTAAAATACTTAAATTCTTTTATCTAATTCCTAAGAATATCAGTGAAATTCTTTTACTGCACAGAAAGAAAAACCAAACCTACAAAGGTTGATGCAACTGTTAAGTTCAAACAAACCTACAAAATTGTCAAGTATCCTTTGAGTAAACAGAACAACATCCTAAATACTTAAAGCAATAACAGATTTGAATGTACTAAAAAAAGGAAAAAAGAATATAAAAGTGGAAGGTGTTAATATATCAAAAGACAGAGTGCCCTTAACTGAAGGAACTAACAAGTCAAAAACCAAGAGTAGATACAGATCAGACAAACATTAAATAATTTTGAGATCTAGCCTGGCTGGTGTGGCTCAGTGGATTGAGTGTCATCCCATGGACTGAGAGGTCCTGGTTCAATTCCCAGTCAGGGCACATGCCTGGGTTTCAGGCTTGATCTCCAGTAGGGGGCGTGCAGGGGGCAGCTGATAGATGTTTCTCTCTCACATCGATGTTTCTATTTCTCTCTCCCTTCCTCTCTAAAAGATCAATATATATGTATATATATTACACACACACACACTTAAATAATTTTGAGATCTAGGAGACATATACATAAAACAAAGTCAAGTGTAAGTATACTAACTATTACAAACTTAAAAATTTAAGTCATTCATTATATTTTAAAATGTCATTTGGTATGAAATCAATTCTTAGCCAAGAATATTAATTTTTTGATTATCACTATTCTCCCCAAAGTAGGTTCTAGTTACAAAGTTATTACCTCCAATAAGTTTTGAATTTCCTCTTCCCTTTTATTTAAGCAAGATACCCACTGTTCAGAAAAACAAAGTGTGCTTGTGTTCAGAGCCTCACATGTCTGTTCAATCTTTTGAGATGTTATTTCAAAGTTGTTATTCAGTTTATCACAGTGTTTCACACACTCTTCAACCAACTGTGTACCTTCTTGGTTAAAATGTCTGAGTTCCTGTGATAAGCCATCAGAATCAGCACAAAATTTTGTACTGTGAGAAGTTGTTTTGCTGAGTATATCCTTAGATTTCCTGTAGGAAAAGAGAACACTGTTAAAATGGAAAACTAAGACTCAAAGGATACATAATTTGCCCGAGATCACACAGCTCAAACATGGCTTCTTTAAACCCAGGCAGTCTAGCTCCCAGCGCCCATGTTCTTAGTCTTCCACACTGGGAGAAGGTATGCTTTGGCCAGTGTCTTTTCACAGCAGACTGACATTACATCTGCTATTAGATGACCTTTGAAAATGTCTTTTTTCATAACACCTTTCTCAGCCCTCCTCCAGATATGATGCTTTACTTGTCCTCTTAGAGTATTAACTGTACAATTATTAAAATGAAATGTGTTTATGTGTTTTATTCCCCCACCAGATTATGTTATTTAAGGGCATCTATAGCCTCTAGTCTAGTCCCTAAACTGTCCACAGTCATTCTGTTGTTAAGCAGTTTTGCCTTGCTTATGAAGTAAATCATAAAAATTATGAATCTTACAAAAGTCAACTATAAGGCTCTCTAATAAAAAGAAATATTAGTGTGTGACAAACTATACACATAGTGCACACAGCACAGAAAAACATAACCCTGACATAAAACTAATGTCAGTTAAAATATACATTTAAATGCATTGGAGGCTTCCATCTCTCACTAAGGTTCCCTATATATAGCACCACAGAATAAACTTACAGGAATAAAAGTTACCCTCTATTACCACTAGATGGTACACCATGTGAGTAAACCAATTGAGTAAGCAAATGTGTTAAAACCAAAGTGCAACCACAGATTAAGTAGAAATGATTGGAACAACAAAAGAAGTGGTAAACTTGGAGACTATCAACACAAATCTATCCCCTCAAGGAATCACAACCTAGTGGGGAGATGAAATTTATTCAGAAGTGACTACAATCTATGACAATAAATGCCAAAGGCGGTGGGTCTCACATTTTAGTATACATAAATCTCACCAAGATTCCTGGATCCTACTCCTGATTCTTTTACATGTAGACAATGCTAGGAAGATAGGAAAATGACTTGCCTACACATTAAAGAAGGTATACCATAGTTCCCTACCCTTCCCATTTCTTTTTTTTTTTTATCCTCACCCAAGGACATTTTTCCATTTTTTGTCCAGATAGAGCGGGAGGGAGAGAGAGGAAGAGAGAGAGAGAGAAACATCGATGTGAAGGGACACATCGAGTGGCTGCCACCCGCACGACCAACCAGGGCCGGGGACAAACTGCAACCAACGTACGTGCCCTTAGCGGGAACCGAACCCGGGTCTCTCTGTACCGCAGGCCGACACTCTAACCGCTGAGCCAAACCGGCCAGGGCCCCTTCCCATTTCAATCCTACTCCTAGTATTATCCCCTTCAAAGCTATGGAAGAAGCCAGAAATCCTTAAGTCTAAACATTAGGAAAACAAAGTAGGGAAACACTTTCAAGATTCGAATTCTAAAAAGAAGTGTTCAGAACAGAACATGATATAATGAACAGGTACCAACAACAGGACTAAAAAATGGATGATAGATTTAGGTAGTAAGATAGGTGATAGCCAGAATTCTAGAGAGGCACTGTTCAATAAAAACATAACATGAGCCCTGGCCATTTTGGCTCAGCAGTTAGTGTCAGCCTGCGGTCGAGAGAGACCTGGGTTCGGTTCCCGCTGAGGGCATGTACCTCAGTTGCAGTCTGTCCCTGGCCCTGGTTGGGTCGTGGGGGTGGTGGCCACTTGAGGTGTCCCTTTCACATCAATATCTATCTCTCTCTCTCTATCTCTCTCTCCTTCCCTCCCACTCTATCTGAATAAAAAATGGAAAAAAATGTCCTCGGGTGAGGATAAAAAAACAAAAAGACAAACAAACAAAAAAAACAAAAATATATAACATGAGCCACATATACAATAAAAACTTCTAGAAAGCAACAAATGAATAAGCAAAACAACCTCACAGACACAGACAGCAGTATGGTGGTTACCAGAGGGGAAGGGTAGTGGGGAGAAGTTGACAAGAGTAAAGGGGTTAAATATATGATGACAGAAGAAGGCGACTTTGGGTAATGAGTAATATACAGATGATGTTCATTGTTGTTATTATATATAAGATTATGAATATTTTATTTTTATTGTTTACAGTATTACAGATGTCCCCCAATCCCACCCCCTTTCTGTCCTCCTAAGCCCTGCCCCATCCCAGGACTTCACCACACTATTGTCTGTGTCCACTGGCTATGCATATATGTATATAAGTTCTTTGGTTAATCTCTTCCCGTCTCCCCCCATAGCCTCCCTGAGATATCCCAGCCTGTTTCATGCCTCTGTGCCTCTGGACCTATTTTGTTCAATACAGATGATGTATTATGGAACTGTACACTTGAAACCTATATTATCTTATTAACCAATGCCACCCCAATAAATTTAATAACATTAAAAAAAATAAAAATCTGGCCCTGGCCGGTTTGGCTCAGCGGTTAGAGCGTCAGCCTGAGGTCCAGAGAGACCGGGGTTCGGTTCCCGCTAAGGGCACGTACCTTGGTTGCAGTTTGTCCCCGGCCCTGGTTGGTCGTGCGGGTGGCAGCCACTCGATGTGTCCCTTTCATGTCGATGTTTCTCTCCCTCTCTCTCTCTCTCTTCCTCTCTCTCCCTCCCACTCTATCTGAACAAAAAAAAAAAAAAGGAAAAATATCCTCGGGTGAGGATAAAAAATCTGTAATAGTCATACTAAAAAAGACAACAGATAAAGCAATCAGAGTAATAACGTATTGAGTGTATATAGCATATGTAAAAATAAAAACAATGTATAAGAAATGAGGAGAAATTGGAAATATACTGTTAAAAGTTCCTTTCATTACACATAAAACATCAAATTATTTAAAGGTGGATTAAAATTATTTGAAAATGTTTGTTATTAATCTAGAAAAAAACACTTAAAAAGTAATTTAGAAAGTATAACTGATAAGTCAATGGAAGAGATAAAATGGAAACATAAAAATGCTCAACTTAAACTAGAAAAGGAAAAAAGGAAACAGCACAAATGATACAACAAACAGAAAACAGCAAAATGGTAGATTTTAATCCAACTATATCAATACTTTAAATGAGAATGGTCTAAACACAGCAGTTAAAGTTCGCATTGTTAAATTTAATGAGAAAACAAGACCCAATTATGAGACCCAATATTTAATCCACTTTAAATATAAACACTTAGGTCAAAGTAAAGAAATGGAGGGAGAAAGATAAATTATGCAAATAGCAATAAAAGGAAAGCTGAAGTATTTATATTAATTTCAGACAAAATGGACTTCAGAACAAGGAAGAATATCAGGTATAAAAAAAGAATATTACATAATGTTAAAGGGGTCAATTTTCCAAGACATATCAACCTTAAATGTGTATGCGTCTAACAACAAAATATCACGAGGCAAAAACTGAGAATTGATAAGAGAAACAGACAAATCCACAATTATAGTGGGAGATTTCAACACCCATCTCTTAGAACACTTCATCCATGAACAGCAAAATACATATTATTCTCATATGGGCAGACAAAAAATAACACTGAAAGGGCTCTTAAAATTAAATAGTATTGGAACCACAGTCCACTAAAGGGGGCCACCAACACCTGCATGCTAAAACTAAACAGAATGAATGTCTGCTAAAAAAGACTTAAATATGATTTTGAATCTCCTAAAATAATAACCAAAATGTTCAAAATACAATCCAAAACAACTCTGGAAAGTCACAACTTATTGAATGAGAAAAGGTAACAGGTGCCAACATTGAGATAATTCATATAATGGAATGATCTGGCAAGGATTTTAAGGCAGGCATCATAAAAATGTTTCAATGAACAATTATAATACCTCTGGAAAAAAATCTTAGCAACGACATAGACCAGACAAAAAAATAAAGCAAATGAAAATTATAACCCCCTCCAAAAAAATACCTCATTCAATGGATTATCAGTAAATTAGAGATGACAGAGGAAGAATCAGTGAACATAAAGACAGATCATAGAGTATCTGAACAACAAAGGGAAAAGAGATGATGATATATCTATAGCCTCAGAGACCAATGACCATAATACAAGATCTAACATTTGCGTCATCAAGGTCCTAGAAGCAGAGGAGAAAGAGTATAGGGCTGAAAAATGTTCAAAGAAATAAAAGACAAAAATGTCCAAGTTTGGTGAAAGGCATTAAGGATAGTGTGTTCAGTTCCTGATCAGGGCACATGTGGAAGGCAACTGATTGATGTTTCTCTCTCTCTCTCCCCCCCCTTCCTCTCTCACTCTCTCTCTCCAATCAATGAAAAACATATCCTCAGATGAGGATTAAAAGAAAGAAAAAAACTAAAACAAAGAAAAAAAATATCTTAAAAACAGCTACAGAGAAATAGCCTACAAAGGAATAATTATTTAAATGACCGAAGATTTCTCATGAAGGCCAAAAGGAAATAGAACAACGTATTCCAGATGCTGAAAGAAAAGACCTGTCAAGCCTGAATTCTATATCCAGTAAAAGTATCTTTCAGGATGAGTGAGAAAATCAAGGCATTTTCAGACCAAGGAAAAGAGAATTTGTGGCAAGCAGACCTACCCTCAAAGGCTAAAGGAAGTTTTCCAAAAAATAAGGAAGCTTGAATATTCAGTTTGAAACTATTTAATATACAAAAATAGGGCTAAGTATAATAGAAAATCATCTCCTTCTGAATTTAGAATATCCATATGCAAAAAACTGAAATATGACAAACCTCACAACTTAGACAAAATATTTAAATGAATCATGAATTTAAATCTTACATGGGGTGCCCACTTAAGCGGCACATATACTAAAATTGGAATAATACACAGATCCAATTAGCATGACCCCTGTGCAAGGGTGACATGCAAATTTGTGAAGCATTCCATATTTTTAATATATTTTGAGATATATATATGAATATATATATTTATATATATATGAAAGGCAAATATTTTTCTCCTATTCTGTAGGTTGTAATTTCATTCTTGATTATGTCCTTTGATGTACAAATGTTTTTATTTATTTATTTATTTTTTATCCTCACCCGAGGACATTTTTTCATTTTTTTGTTCAGACAGAGTGGGAGGGAGAGAGAGGAAGAGAGAGAGAGAGAAACATCGACGCAAAAGGTAACATCAAGTGGCTGCCACCCACACGACCCAACCATGGCCGTGGACAAACTGCAACCGAGGTATATGCCCTTAGCGGGAACAGAACCCAGGTCTCTCTGGACCGCAGGCTGATGCTCTAACCGCTGACCCAAACCAGCCAGGGCTAAATGTTTTTATTTCGATGAAGTCTGACTTATATATATATATATTTTTTCCCTTTGGTGTCAAATCTAAGAATCTATTGCCAAGCCTGAATTTCTGATTTATCCCATGTTTTCTTCTATGAATTTTATTTTGCATATGGAGTGAAGCAGAGGAACAATTTCATCCATTTTATGTGGTTATCCAGTGGTCCCAGCACCATTTGTTGAAGACACCCTTTTTATGGATTAAATAGTCTTGGCACCCTTGATGAAAATAAATTGGCCATAGGTGTTTTGGTTAACATCTAGATTTCAATTCTATTCCATTGGTCTTGTTTTCTATCTTTGTGCCAGAATTTTGTTGTTTTGATCATGGTAGCTTTGTAGTAAGTTTTAAAATTGGAACGTTGGGTCCTTCCCCTACACTTCCATATAAATTTAGAGGATGGGTTTTTTTTCCATTACTGCAAAAAGGCCTTTGAAGATTTTGATGGTGTTGCAATGAATCTTTATATTGCTTCAGGGAGTATTAGCATCTTATCATATTAAATCTTCCGCCCTGGCTGGTTTGGCTCAGCGGTTAAAGCATCAGCTGGGGAACCAAAGAGTTGTGGGTTCAATTCCAGTCAAGGGCAGGTACCTTGGTTGCAGTTTGGTCCCTAGCCCTGGTCAGGGTCATGTGGGAGGCAACCAATCGATGTGTCTCTCTCACATCTATGCCCCCCTCCCCCCACTATGTCTGAAGATAAATGGAAAAATATCTTTGGGTGAGGATTAAAAATAAATAAATAAATCATAATACTTATATATGGGTTTTTCAAAATAAGAATAGAGTAAGGAGCCTCTGGGACAACTTCTAGCATACCAACATTCGCATCATGGGGGTGCCAGAAAGAGAAAAGAGAAAGCAAAAATTTGAAAACCTATTTGAAAAAATAATGACAAAAACGTCCCTAACTTGGTGAAAAAAAACAGACATAAAGTCCAGGAAGCACAGAGAGTCCCAAACAAGATGAATCCAGAGATCCACACCAAGACACATCATAATTAAAATGCAAAAGGTTACAGAAAAAGGAAGAATCTTAAAAGCAGCAAGAGAGCCCTGGCCGATTTGGCTTAGCGGTTAAAGTGTTGGCCTGAGGTCCAGAGAGACCCAGGTTCGGTTCCCGCTAAGGGTGCGTACCTTGGTCGCAGTTTGTCTCCGGTCCTGGTTGGTCATGTGGGTGGCAGCCACTCAATGTGCCCCTTTCACATCGATGTTTCTCTCTCTCTTTCTCTCCCTCCCACTCTATCTGAACAAAAAATGGAAAAAAAAAAAATGTCCTTGGGTGAGGATAAAAAAAAAAAAAGCAGCAAGAGAAAAGCAGTAAGTTACCTACACAGGAGCTCCCATAAGACTGTCAGCTGATTTCTCAACAAAAACTTTACAAGCCAGAAGGGAGTGGCAAGAAATATTCAAAGTGATAAACAGCAATGACCTACAACCAAGATTATTCTATCCTTTTTTATTTTTATTTTATCCTTACCCAAGGACATTTTTCCATTTTTTGTTCAGATAGAGTGGGAGGGAGAGGGAAGGAGAGAGAGAGAGAGAGAGAGAGAGAGAGAGAGAGAGAGAGAGAGAGAAATCGATGTGAAAGGGACACATCGAGTGGCTGCCACCCGCATGACCAACCAGGGCCAGGGACTAACTGCAACCGAGGTACGCGCCCTTAGCAGGAACTGAACCCAGGTCTCTCTGGACCGCAGGCCAACGTTCCAACCACTGAGCCAAACCGGCCAGGGCCCACGATTATTCTAACCTGCAAAGCTATCAATTAGAATCAACAGACACACAGAGCTTCCCAGACAAGAAAAAGCCAAAGGAGTTCACCACCACCAAATCAGTATTATCTGAAATGTTGAAGGGTCTTCTTGAAGAAAAAGATAAAAAATATGAACAATTGCCCTGGCCGGTTTGACTCAGTGGTTTTAGTGGCTGCCCACAGACCAATGAGTCGAGGGTTTGGGTCTGGTCAAGGGCACATACCTCAGTTGTGGTTCGGCCTCAGCCCTGGTTGGGGTTGTGCAGGACGCAACAGGTCGGATGTGTTTTTCTCACATCAATGTTTCTTTCTCTCTCTCTCTCTCTCCCCCCCCCCGTCCCTCCCACTCTATCTGAAGATAAATAGAAAAATGTCCTCGAGTGAAGATTAAATATATATATGAATAAAATGGCAATAAATACATATCTGTCAACAATTGAATCTACAAACCAAATCAATAAGCAGAACAGACTCAGTCTCATAGATGCAGATAACTTTTTTATGGTTGCCAGATAAAAGGAGATTCAGCAGGATGGGAAAAAAAAGGTGAAGTGATTAAGAGGTACAAATTTGCCTGGCCGGTGTGACTCACTGATTGAGCATCGACCCATGCACCAAAAGGTCGCCAGTTCAATTCCCAGTCAGGGCACATGCCCAGGTTGTGGGCCCAATCACCAGTGGGGGGCATGCAGGAGGCAGCCAGTCGATGTTCTCTCTCATTGATGTTTCTCTCTCTCTCTCTCCCCGAAAATCAGTAAAGAAATAATTTTTTTTTTAAATGGATGCTAAGAGGAAAGGGATACTTGCAAAATTTCAAAGAATCTCTCCATAGTTCTTTATTAAATGCAGTGGAGAAATCTGGAAGACAACACTATAACCAAGTTATCAAAGTTAAATAAAACATCACCAATTATGCAGGTCTCGTGTACCTCTTGATATCTGAGATGCTATCACTTTCGTGGTACTCTTGATAATTGCAACTAATCATGAAGGCCAACCCCAACTGAGGGATATAAACATTCTATAGTCTTGAAAAAAGGAAAGGTTATGAAAGACAAAGACTGAGGAGCTGCACCAAATTAAAGGAGACTCAAGAGACATGACAAATGCAATGCATGATTCTGGATTAAATCCTAGACCAGGAAGAAATTTGTTTCCTTTTCCTATAAAGAACATTAGTGAGACAACTGAGGAAATTTTAATTGGGTGTGTATTATTAGGTAACAGTAATTATCAATATTAATTTTCTAATCTAAAATAATTATCTTCTGGTTATTATATAAGAGAATATCCTTGTGTTTAGAAAATACACATTGAAGTATTTAGGGAAAGTTGTGCAATCACATCTATAACTTATTCTCAGCTAGTTCAGAAAAGATATATATATTAGATGAGGAAATGGGAGGAATGAGAATGATAAAGCGAACATAATAAAATGTTAAATGAGACATTAGGTTGATAGTTTTTATACTATTTAAAGATTTTTATTTTTACTTATTTTTTAAATATGTTTTATTGACTTTTTTAGAGAGAGAGAGAAACATCGATGTGAGAAATATCGATCAGCTGCCTCCTGCATATCCCCTACTGGGAATGGAATCTGCAACCCAGCATATGTGCCGACTGGGAATTGAACCAGAACCTCTTAGTCCATGGGGCTGCTTAATCTACTGAGCTACACTGGCTGGGCTATTTAAAGCTTTTTAATCTAAAGTAATTTAAGGCAGAGAAAAGTTAAATAAAATTTTAAAACAACTTACTGCTCTGTATTTTTTTGGACATTATTAAGTGGTTTCTGGATGCTTTCACACTTTTCCTCCAAAGCACAGAATCTCTCTTCCCAAAGATTGATTAACTGGCAAAGTTCCTGTAAGAAAGGTGTGGGGAGGGGATAAAATTGAATTTATGGCACTTCAAACATTTTTCTATACTGACATGAAATATTTTCCTATAGGTGAGATTTATATAAATTCTTTAGAAGAGACCTTTACCTCTATCTCTCCCCCATAGAGGGAAGCAGTAGAGGTTGACATTAAAAGGATAATATTATTGGGGTATTTTTAAAAATAGTAAATAATTAGCAACTTTGTATTTTAATAATTACTTTCAGTGTACCTGTTAATTAACCAACTATACCAAAATGTCACATTATGTTTGAGAACCACTTTGACAAATACATACAGTTACTTCTTAACTTATAACACTATTGGAAGGAAGAAGTAATGCTTGGGTCAAGCAGTCCAAAATTATTATCAGTTACTAGAGCTGAAACATTTTACAGAAATTAGTTAGATCATATTAATAAAATGTCAATATAGAGTATTACCTTTACTTATACTTGGCATCTTTAAATACAAGCTCTTATAGGCATACAACATGCTAGGGACTTATACTGCAAAATGAAGAAGCTACACTGAAGACCAAGGAAGAGTTGAAAAGGCACCCAGCATTCTTATTCACTGTTCAGTCCATCTTTGACTAATACATCAGCTGATAAAACATATCTAACACTTTGCTTATGAATAAAGTCTGTCAGTATTTTTACTAGACTCAGAGTAGAGGGAAATGCAGGTATTATTAGATTTACCTACATGTAAATAGGTATTCAGTTTTACATAACTGTTTTATTAGTGCTCACTTAGTAACCTTGCTTCCTTAAAGCCAGGGAAACAAACCATCCATGCTAAAATATTTTCCGGATCATGGGTATTTTGTTTGTTTTTAAACATTTGATTACCCATTTTAAACATTTCAAAACAGCTCATTTATAAAAAGTTGATCTACCTTAGAATATATACCTAAAAAGTAGTAGGCAGGTTTAAGGTAAATACCCTATGAGGAGGTGCAAGAAATTGCAATTTCAAATTGCAGGAACATATTCAACAAATATACACAGAAGAGCTGCTCAAAAATAAATGCTTTTCAGGCAATATAATCACCACCAACACTATAAGATGATCTAAATACTGTTAGATGCTTATGAGGCCTTCTTGTTTCCTCATTAGAAAACTGGGCTAGTAATAAAATCTGTATCTATATTGGTGAGAGAAATTAAACACATTAAATTCCTCAATAAATGTTAACTACGAGTTTTACTAAATTCTGTATTAATCCTTTCTCTGAAAAGTTTCATTAGTATCAACTAGAAAAATGAATGATGTTATTTTAAAGTTGCTCTATTTCTTACCTAAAATTTTTGGATATATTGTTCTCATTTTTGATGACATGGATATTAATTCCCTCTCCCTCCCTCTCCCCACCAATAACCTCTCCCTGCCCCCAATAATCCTTTATTACCCACTAAATTATGTCAACAGTTTTACTGACAAGAGTTCTGTCGTGTAGTAATAGCCTCACCTAACAAAACTTTAGACATTCATCATAAAGGCTTTGAGAATACCAAGTGTTGTTTTCCATATGTCTGATATTTACAGATTATGACTTTCTTGGTTTGAAGGTTTGGTTTTAGTGTAAAGGCTCATATGCTAAGAAATAGTTTACATGGAGAAAGATAAGTCATGAATTTCATTTATAATAAAAAAATAAAGCCCTGGCCAGTTTGGCTCAGCAGTTAGAGTATCAGGCCGAGGAACAGAGAGTCCCGGGTTCGGTTCCTGCTAAGAGTATGTACCTTGGTTGCAGTTTGTCCCAGGACCCAATTGGGGTTGTGCAGGTGGCAACCAGTCAATGTGTCTATCTCACATCAATGTTTCTCTCTCCCTTTTCCTCCCTCACTCCCTCCTGCTCTATCTGAATATAAATGCAAAAATGTCTTCAGGTGAGGATAAAAAATATACAAATTTTTTTTAAAACATTAAGAACGGTATTAATTTACTACAATTTAAATGCCTGACATTGATGAGACAGAAATAGTAAGAGGAAAGCAGGACATAGCTTATGAGAGTAACTATCCATGTTACCCTAAAAAAAATAATTTATCAAGTTATAATGCAGACACATGTTCATTTAAAGTGCTATAACCATTTTCTAATTGTACTCCCAAAGGTATGTTTCTCCAGGGTCACCATTTCTTGTGGTGTGAGGAAAACACTGTCTTGTTTGTCTTACTGTGCTTTAGCATAGGCCTCTCTACATGTAGCAAATTCTCAAATATTAACTATCAAGAAAAGTGTTCTCAATTTTACTGTTATAAGCAACAGTTGCTTTGGTATTTTCAGGTTTCTAAATTAGTTGTATAACAGGGATTATCAAGTTAAAGATCATAAAATTTTATTTTTACATTCCCCAAAGCATTTAAATAAGATACCTGTGAATGGATTTTCTTTACCGTCTTCAGATCTTCAGTTAAATTTTCACATAGTTTCTGTGACTCAGCCAAGGAAGAAATCGTATTTTCTTGTAGTTCATGTAGACTGTCACACAGCGTACTGAGAAAGCCATCCATTTCCTTTTTCTGATCTTCTATCTTTAAAGAAAAAAATTAATTTCATTTTTAAATTAAAAAAAAAGTTAAATTGTTTCTTTTTATTTTTTGAATATATACAAAATAGAAAGGGTAGAAAACAGTACATAGAGCAAAGTCATTTTTCTCTCCAGCCCCTACAATTCCAGTTCCACTCCCACTTGAGATATGATTGCTACCATTTTTAAACATTTCCAGAGACATTTTATGTATAATTAGGCATATAGGCATATATGTATAGAAACATATATCTTCCTCACCCACTATATGATAGCATGTTATATGTTACTTTGTAAACATTTATCTTTATCATTCTCTCTCATTTTTCTTAGCCATGATTCTGCCGACTACATCAATAGCAGAGAACAACCTATCTGCCCTCTCCTCTAGATTCCTTCTCAGAACCCATGGGTTTTGCATGTAGACAATCTCCAGGTGTGGCTTCAGATAGCTTTTTTTCCTTAAACAATTTGATTTGGAGATAATAACATAACATTTATTACCTTATTAGCTACTGTCAGCGAAGTCTTGAAAATATGCTTCAGTTGACTATTGATTTTCAGTATAGCCAACACAGTGGGGGATAAAATTATCTCCAGTGAGCTTAGAAGGTCTGCTTTAAGTACATTCTGGTTTTAAAAATAAAAACAAACAAGTCTTTAAAATAACATTTTCACTTCCATTAACCTGGCTGATTCAATATCTTAAATACTTTTAACTAAACACATACATATTAAAATGCCAAGTATCCCTTTTCTATTCTTTAGAGCCTATTTGTTACTAAAGTTTACATTCTGCATAAGTCACTTAATCCTGTCTACAGTAATTAAGAAAATGGTCACTTACTATTCAATAGATTCTTAACAGTCTAATGCAATAAAAGTCAGAATTCAAAAGGGGGGGGAGATGAATCATTTGATAAAATTTCAGAATTGTAAACAAAGGAAATTTTTAAAACCTACAAGTACAATTTAACAAAATAAATTTCAAGTAAGTTTAGGTTACTAGTCATAAAATCTAAAATCAAACAGCCTTCAAAAGTAGGCTTTGGGGGTATTTAATGTTGAAGACCTTATGACTTATATTCTACTGTATCAGAAGAACTTGTCAGGTTCTTGTTCTTATGAAGGTATATGGGAAGTTGAAAATGTAGTACAGATTGAGAATTTTTATAAAAAGGAAAAAAAGCCCTGGCCAGTTTGGCTCAGCGGTTAGAGCATCGGCCTGTGGTCTGGAGAGACCCGGGTTCGGTTCCCGCTAAGGGCACGTACTTCGGTTGCAGTTTGTCCCCGGCCCTGGTTGGTCGTGCGGGTGGCAGCCACTCGATGTGTCCCTTCACGTCGATGTTTCTCTCTCTCTCTCCCTTCCTCTCTCTCCCTCCCATTCTATCTGTACAAAAAATGGAAAAATATCCTCGGGTGAGGATAAAAAAATAAAAAAATAAAATAAATAAAAAGGAAAAAAAATTCTGACCTAAGTTCTTTTCATTGGGGCAAAGGTAAGAAACTCTAAAAGAAATTATTAGTAAATAGTTAAAAGAAAAGGCTTCTGGTATTAACTGGGAAAGAAGAACTATCATTCTAATTTCAACTCATTCTGTGGGAGCAGCAGTCATCTCTGACTCAAGCAATGCTTATAAATTGGTAGGAAGGCATTACTAAATACAGATTACTACTTAGTGAATGAATCAATTTCTAAAAAGTTAGTATGGACAGTAACTTTTAACTTTGTCAAATTTGGATGATTAAAGAAACCTATTAAATAATGTCATACAAGCACTGAATCTAGGCAAAGTGTCAGCTAACATTTGTAGTATCTACTTGGAAAATGTTCAACAAATATTAACTCAAAAAGAGAGGCAGAGAGCCTGTACAAAGAAAAAAAGCAAAGTAAGTGATATGGCCAAGAACTTCCTAGACAAATCACACAATTACAAAATAAATAGCGCATATAAATCAAGTATGGAAGAACATTAAGTATAATTAAATGAGTGATTTCTATAGAACTATGAAAAAGAGCCTTACAGTTATGGCCCAGAAGGGCTTGATCACACAGATCTGACCTCAAAATTGTTTTATGTGTCTTCAGAATTCTGTATTTTAAGTTGTTTTTCTAGCTATGTTTCTATATCACTGTAGTTTTAAAATTAATCACTTAATAGCTCCTTCTGGTTGAAATCAGTGTAACATCAGCAAGATCATTCCAACACCCAGCAGAAAGAATAATTTACCTATTTCTGAGCCAACTGGCAAGTCTTGGGTCCCATGAATTCATATGGAGATAAACCTACCCTTTCTTAGTTATTAGAAGGCTTATAAATTCTACTTTCAACATTGAAAGATAGAAGTGAAAAAAATTTCAACAGTTATATGCATTTGGAAATCAATCTTTCTGGGAAAGAAAAACAGTGGAGAGATTAGATTTGTCTTTAAAATATAAATCTACTTTCTGCCCTGGCCAGTTTGGCTCAGCAGTTAGAGCGTTGGCTGCAGTCCAGAGAGACCCGGGTTCAGTTCCCGCTAAGAGCATGTACCTCGGTTGCAGTTTGTCCCCGGCCCTGGTTGGGTCGTGCGGGTGGCAGCCACTCGATGTGTCCCTTTCACATTGATATTTCTCTCTCTCTCTCCTTCCCACTCTATCTGAATAAAAATAGAAAAAATGTCCTTGAGGATAAAAAAAATACATATATAAATCTACTTTCTTAAAGTGATATTTATCACTGTGTCTAGTAGAGCTAAGATGAAAGAATTGTTAACATTGTTAACATTAGCAAATGTAACACCCTTCAAAAAAACTTTAAAATATTTACTAACAATCAATGTCTGAAGTACAGTTTTACTTTCTTCTGCCAATGACTGTTCATTTAATATCATATTAGAAATCTGAGAAACATGTGTAGACACATTTCCTGGAACAGATGTGAGAGAGCCAAGTGCTGTTGTAGTAATGGTGTCTAATGCAGAAACACTGGAAGACAGCAGGTTACCTATACCAAAAAAAAAAAAAAAAAAGATGTAATCTTTAACATAAACATATTTATTTACATACAGCTAGAACCATCTCAAACAGGCTGGCAAAATTATATCCCTGTTAGGAAATTTTTCATAACAAATAAACTTAACATAATTGTCTGACTACATAAGGAAGGACACATTTTACATATAAATTATATTTGTTCTACAGCATTCTGTAAACACTTGACATATCTGTAGGTGCATCAGACCCATAACTATCACTAACAGTAAACCAAAAATTAGAATATTCTAAAATTAATATACAGTATAATAGTAGGTAAAAGAGGGTATAGAAGAAAAGAGAAACTAGAAATCTATAATCAAAATTTATAGTAGTAGGCTTAGAATGACTAGACGCTAAGTGATCTAAAACAATTTTTACATTTCTGCATCTCCCAAATTTTCTATAATGAGGATAATATTTTCCTAATTAATAAACTAATATTTATGAGTTTTTTTTCCTAAATGAAGATAACAATGGTTTGGTTAAAAATAATACATACACACACATATTCTGACATTACAGCAAACATTCAAAATATATATTCTCAAAAGAAAAAATATGCAAAATGTTTATGTACAGAAAATCTCTAGAAGGAAACTCAAGAAATGTAACAGTAGTGTCTATATAGAATGAGATGGGGTCAGGGTTAAAGAGACTTTTACTTCTAAAGTTTATACACTTAGTTATTGTTTAATAAACATAAGTTATTGTATAGAAAACACGGGTTAAAAAACCCAACTAAGATTTGTTTCAATTCAAAGGAAGTGAAACCGCCCTGGCTGGTTTGGCTCAGCGGTTGGAGCGTCGGCCCGCGGTACAGAGAGACCCGGGTTCGGTTTCCGCTAAGGGCACGTACCTCGGTTGCAGTTTGTCCCCGGCCCTGGTTGGTCGTGAGGGTGGCAGCCACTCGATGTGTCCCTTCACATCGATGTTTCTCTCTCTCTCTCCCTCCCGCTCTATCTGAACAAAAAATGGAAAAATGTCCTCAGGTGAGGATAAAAAAAAAAAAAAAAAAAAATCAAAGGAAGTGAAACCATTAATCCCTAGTCTAAACGGATAGTGTGTGCACTTGGAGGTAACTAGTAACATTGTCACCTGAATTTTTTTATGATATTAAACTATCAGTTTCTAAATTAGTCTCACACTAAACACACAGACTAGAATAATTAGAAATGCTTGAACTTACCAAACAAGTTCTTGTGAACTTCCAGCATGGTTTTTTGTTTTGAGCTGCTATCCTTTATTAATTCTTTCATATTATTAAACAGACTATTCAGATTTTTGCCAAAAATATCTTGAGCTTCTGCATTGTGCTGATCAACTGCTTTTTTACGATCCAGTTTGGAATGAAGACCGGATACATCTTTTGTAGTTTCTTCAACTGTGTTAAGCAACTATGTATGATTTTAAAAAAAATAAACGTTGATAAGATGGATATGACAAAAGTTTTCTAAGAAAATATCTGTGCTACAGAAGGATTTCTCCTAATAGAACTTACAAATTTTATATATTGTATCAGAAGAAAATTTTAAACTCATGCTAATTTATCTAGTAATGTTTATTTCCCCTCCCTAGCCATCCAGGCAAGGAAAATTGATTTTTTCCAATTATAGTAATTATTCTCCCCGAGAAGTTTTCCCTATTGCCTCAAAAATACACCTAATAAAAAATTAAATATTTTCAACATATTCCATCAGTAGAAGGTACTAAATTCTTGATGACTGATTAATTTCTATCATGACCACAGGAAAAAGTATTACATATTTGGTTTAAATGTCAACAAAGTATAATAAAGTTATGTTCTATTTCCAAAACTTCTAGAAGCTTTTTCTTAAGTTAACATCTCCAGTGAAGAAAATTTAGATGAAATAGTAAAATAACGTTTATGGAATGGACAGAAATGTTATTTGGGGTGATAAATAGAATGTCATAGAGCAAAGTAACTCACTTCTACTCATTTTCTAATTTCTTTAATGCAAGTACAATCAAAACAAAGGACAAACCTTGCTGGCAGTATCATGAAGTTTCTTCTCAGTATCTTCCAAAATTGACGTGACATACTCTTCTTTAACAAGCTGTAATTTAGTTTCTTGTAAATGTTTTTGAGTGGTGTTAAGCTCCTGTGTCTTATTCTGCAGGTCAGATTTACACTGGTCGAGTTCATTTTTATTATCCATGAACAACTCTGTAACCTAAATGTAACACATTAAACATTCTTTTAAGAATTAAAAATACTGAGCTGGTTGGTGAGGCACCTAGCTAGTTCGTAATATAATATTAGAACCAAACAAATTATTTTCATGCAAAACGGTAACAAGTTGTAAGTTACCAAGTAGGTTACTACATTTTATATGTCATCTGGTTTCTTCATATAAATTAATTAAAAACAAATAACAACAGGTCTGGTGTAGTGGTATTACTTGTTCAGGATTTATCTAACACTGCCAACATGAGGGTGGCACAGAAGGGTCAGGTTTTTACATCTTAGTTATTTAACATCTATTTTCTCCCAACATCGCATTCCCTCATCTGAATAAACATGTTAGTGAAAATGTCTCAGAATTCACTATTTAGCTTGAACAATAAAATCACAAAATTCAGTTAATTTCTTGTAATGTTACATTATGTAAGAATCAAAATAGTTTCTGCCATGGCTAGGTAGCTCAGTTGGTTACAGCATCATCCTGACACACCAAGGTTGGGGATTTGATCCTCAGTCAGGGCCCATACAAGAATCAACCAATGAATGCATAAATAAGTGGAACAACAAATCAATGTCTCTCTGTCTCTCCCCCCACTACCTCTCTCTCTAAAATCAATCAATAAATAAAAATTTTAAATAGTTTCTTCATTACAACTAATGATAAAATTATAATACAACTTACTTTCAGTATATGAGTCAGTAAGAAAAATATCTTAAAGAAAAAATATCAGGTCACTCACATTCTGAAATTTTCTTTCAATATTTGCTTTTTACATAACAGTCAATATTGTTTGGAATGCTTACCCTACTTAGCTCCTCCTCAAGGGCACCAATTTTTTCAATCAATTCTACAATCTGGTCTTCTTGAACAGTTAGTTTTCCATTCATGGCTCTAAAATAAAGTTTAATGTGAATGTAACAGTTATTTTTTTTTTCTTAATTTCTATATAATTTATTCTAACACAATTTTTGCAGTTACACATCAGCTTTACCATTTGTCACTATCGTGATAATGATGCCTAGGTGTTAATAATAAATACAAATTGCAAAAACAGCATAAATGTATTCTTTGTCCTTGTTCAATAATTGTTTTTCCTGTTATCTCCATTGTGAAACTGAGAATTCCTGTCTATAAGGGGGAAAAATGTGTGTGTATAAAATTTAAGAAGCAACAAAGCTAACAGGAACATAATCATATAAAATAGATATAGGTACAACCTAAGTGTCTGTAATCAGGAATATGAAGCATAAAAAGGACATAAAACTGGAGAACAGAATTAAAGCATGAGGACAGAGCAATTATACCTCTCACTGCCTACCATACCCAAATATACCTCAATACACATGCCATGATCACACTACCACAAAAATCCTTGCCCTGGTTGGCTTGGCTCAGTGGTTAGAGAGTTGGCCCTCGGATGGAAGACTCTCGGGTTCGAATCCGTTCAAGGGCACATACGTTGGTTGCGATTCGGTCCCCTGCCCTGGTCAGGGTTGGGCGGGAAGGCAGCCAGTTGATGTGTCTCTCTAACATCGATGTTTCTCTCTCTCTCTCTCTCCCTTCCTCGCTTGCACTCTATCTGAAGATGAATGGAAAAGTATCTTCGGGTGAGGATTTAAAAAAAATTTTTTTCAGGAGAGCCAAGGATTATTCTCTAGAGCACAATTCCTCAGCCTCAACACTATTGACATTTTGGTAATTCTGGTCCACTTTAATGGGTCTCTGATTTATTGAGCATTAGCAAGTTTTAGAAGTGAGTGTTGTCTTTTGTATTCTTCTATCTTCTTCCAGCTCCTTCATAACTACCAACGATTTTCTATTCCACACTGTGCTAAATGACAGAGATTCTTTTCTAAGTGCAAATTTCCTCAATTTATTAGCTAGAGATATTGTTGATTAAATGAAAAGCTAGAACTGAGTGTAAGAGAAGAATTAGTTTTAATAGTCTTTTGATTAACTGTATTAGTTCTTTATTGGAAATGGGTCTTTTATGTAGAATAGGATATTTAAAATGCTTTTTAAAAATTGAACGTACAAGAGATAATGCATCCCTGGCTGGTTTGGCCCAGAAGTTAGAGCATCAGCCCGTGGACCAGTGAGTTGTGGGTTTGATTTCGGTCAAGGGCACGTACCTCGGTTGTGATTCATCCCCGGCCCTGGTTGGGGTCGTGTGGGAGGCAGCCACTGGATGTGTCCCTTTCGCATCGATGTTTCTCTCTCTCTCTCTCTCTCTCCCTCCCTCCCTCCCTCCCTCCCACTCTATCTAAACAAAAATGGAAAAATGTCCTCCAGTGAGGATTAAAAATATATATATAATGCAACATTATTATTTCATGGGTGATATAGTTTTAAAAGGTCTATTAAGCATGGGGTAAATAAAGCATTTTCCTGCTTGAAATGTTGGCTATGGCTTTTGTGATCCTTCTCTGAATTTTTCAAAAGAACTTTGTTTCAGATTAAGCACTGTCAAGCACTGTCTTTTTAATCATGGGATTTACAAACAAAAATAGATATTTCTTAACCTAAAATACATCAAAGTCGCCCTGGCAGATATTACTCAGTGGTTAGAGCATCGGCCCTCCCACCTAAGGGTCAACAGTTCCATTCAGCCCTGGTTGGGGCACCCGCAGGAGGCAACCAATTGATGTTTCTTTCTCTCTCTTTTCCCTAACCTCCCTCCCTTCCACTCTATCTCAAAAATCAATGGAAAAAATATCCTCAGGTAAGGATTAACAAAAAATAAATAAATAAAAATAAAATATATCAAAGAGATGAACAATAGAAGTTAAGAAAATCAGATAATCAGTCCCCAATGTCTATTGTGAGTACTAATAGCAGAAGATACTACATTAGCAAATCAAGGGACTAAACCACTTCTAGGTATTCATTGGTTGCCTACTAAATACCCATTTCCTGCAGCCTGACTCTATTCCCAGATCCAGGAACTAAACCCAACTGACTCAAGACCATCAGAGAAATTCAACTCCTTTCCCAGTTACTGGTTCATATATGAAGACAACTCAGGCCTAAACTAATCATAAATGATGTTCCCCTGGCCAGTTTTCATGGTTAAAGGACAGGTAGCCTCTCATCTACAGTGGACCTGAATGACAGCATGTAGCTGCTCTACTGCTGACCATCATCCTTGATGAAAGGGTAGCCCCAGAAGAAAGCCCCTATGAGGGACAGGAGTAGGAAGAGACAAACTGGATCCTTGAGTTGCAGAATTAAATAACCTTGAAGTTCATTCTATCCCTTGTTGTTTTAAGACAGTTTAACTTTGGTAACAACCAAGAGCATCTGATACCAAACTTAAAAAATAAAGATTTTATTTAATTATAATTAATGTTTAAAAATATAAAAGTGGTAGATATAGGGACACGTGTAAAGTGAACAACTGAAAAACATAAGACACTTGAAATATAATAAAACTATTGAAAAAATATAATAAAAATCCACATGTGGCAGTTTTTAATCAGGAGGGATATCTTGGCTGTGGAGGTCTCTCCAGAGGAGTGAGGAGTCCCAGCCTCATACCAGACCCTTCAACCCAGGGTTCCAATGCCAGGAAAAGAAGTCCCTGTATCTCTGGGGTATAAAAACCAGCAGGGATTGCGGCTGAGTGACAGGCAGTTCCTTTTAAGGAGCCCACTCGAACTCACTCCATCTGAGCTCCAGTGTTGGGGCAGCAGCTTGAAAGGAACCAGGGACAAACGGAGGAGGAACTAAATTCTCTGACATCAGGGCAAGAGCTGGGTGGGGGGTGTGAGGGGTAGGGGAGGCAGATTTCTCCCAGAAAATAGTGCTGGCAAAGGCCATTGCTCCTTTGCTGAGCCCTCCCTGCCATAGAACTGACCAGCAGGAACTATATCTGAGTCTCCATCAACTGGGCTCACACTCTGTCACAGGGCCCTGGTGATTCCCTGAGACCCTGCCCCACCCAACTTGCAGGCTCACACAAGCAGTTTTCAGTGGCTTTTCCATATGAATGGCTTGTCTTGGCCCATGCTTCACTTTCCTAAAATCCCTAAAACAAGCAGCAGCTGGCCTCAGCGTGCCCCGTGCCCCGTGCCCCGTACCTCTCGCTAAGCAGCCCCAGGCCCAGTAATAGTGGCTGCTCACCTTGTTTTACAGCTTGGTATCTCCTGGGCACCTCCAAGCCCAACATAATTAGCAGCCATCTGCAGATCACTCTGTAGCTCATGACAGGTGACCTCAGGCAGGGTACAGACACAGTGGCTGACTTTGCACCTCCTGAGAGGCCCAGAACCAGAGCACCTGGTGGTCAGCTTCAGACTATGCCAGTTTACAAACCTACCACCTCCATGAGAAACACATTCAAGAGGCAGACTCAGTGAGCACCAAAGTCCCATTGAAACAAGTCCTGCTCCACAGGGTTGGCTCCTACACAGCAGCTCTTCGGCTGTATTCGCAACTGTGTCTACACAACCTACTGGCCTGGAAGTCAATCCCTCCTAGTGACACCAACAACAGTCAAGGTTCAACTACAACAAAACAGGGCACACAGTCCACAAGGGTGCACCTGGAGAGCCCAGCTCAGGTGACTGGGAAGGCTGAGCCATTGGGCCCTAAAGGAAACCTACTACACAAGGCCACTCTACCAAGTTTAGGAGACATAGCAGCTTTACTTAATACATAGAAACAAACACAGTAAAGTAGCCAAAACACAGACACAAAAAAACATGTCGCATGTGAAAGAACAGGAGAAATCCCCAGAAAGAGAACTAGCCCGGCCAGTGTGGCTCAGTGGTTGAGCATCGACCCATGCATCAAGAGGTCACCAGTTCGATTCCTGGCCAGGGCATATGCCCAGGTTGTGGGCCTGAACCCCAGTGGGGGGGCTTGAAGAAGGAGGCCAATTGATGTTCTCTCTCATCAAAGTTTCTATCTCTCTCTCTCACCTCTAAAAATAAAAAAAAAAATTTTTAATTAAAAATTAAAAAAAGAGAGAGAACTAAACAAAATGGAAGCAAAAAAACTATCAGATATAGAGTTCAAAATAATGATTATAAGGATGCTCAAGGAACTTAATGAGAACTTCAAGAAACTTAGTGAGATCATTAACATAGAAAAAGACCAGTCAGAAATAAAAAATACACTAAATGAAATGAAGAAGAATTCATAGGGAATCAACAGTAGAGGACATGTGAACCTATAATTATTTTAAAAATAAAGTTATATAAAAACATTTAAAATGATTTGATAACTACTTGTTTTTATTGTTTTGTGTGTTTTTTTGGTACATGCCCTTAGCGGGAAACGAACCTGGAACTCTCTGGTCCGCAGGCCGATGCTCCAACATCTGAGCCAAACGGCCAGGGCGTGATAACTACTTGTTAATATTAAAAAGAAAAACTAGCATTTGTAGGAGAAACTACAAATAAAGATTTTATTTATTGTCAAATAAGTACATTTTACTTCCACAGTCTGTTATCAGAAAATACTTGTTCTTGGAAATTAATTTCCATAGCTAAGGGCTTACCTAAAATTCTCTTCAGAAATGTACACTCCATTTTTTTCACGAGCTGCAGCAAGATCTCGTTTCAGACGCTCTATCTCTTCTGTATATTCCTACACAAGAAGAACATTGTATCAATTTAGAACAACTTTTAAAATTCAGTTAGCGCCCTGGCCGGTTTGGCTCAGCGGTTGGAGCGTCAGCCTGCGGTACAGAGAGACCCGGGTTCGGTTCCCGCTAAGGGCATGTACCTCGGTTGCAGTTTGTCCCCAGCCCTAGTTGGTCGTGTGGGTGGCAGCCACTCGATGTGTCCCTTCACATCGATGTTTCTCTCTCTCTCTCTTCCTCTCTCTCTCTCCCTCCCGCTCTATCTAAACAAAAAATGGAAAAATGTCCTCGAGTGAGGATAAAAAAAAAAAAAAAAAAAAAAAAAAAAAAAAAAAAATAAAATTCAGTTAGCAGAGGATATAATAAAAATAAAGTTAGCCCTTTTATGTTTTTTAAAGCATAAAAATGTATGATAAGTCATGACCATACTTTTGATTCAATATTAATCTGTACAGAATAAAGTCTTTCAACAGCTTTTAAAGAGCCTTTAAATATACTCATTATTTAAAATATGGTCTTCTGAAAACAAAACAGAAAAACCACAACTTCCAGTACTCCAAATAGCATTTCAAACTAAAAACAAACAAACAAAAACACAGGATTCCTTGGAGAAGGTCTGACTCTAGGATTGGGGCAAAAAACATTCAAGATGAACCTTGAACATTTTGTCAAACAAGGAAGGAAGCTAAAAAAGCTTAGGCTAATTAAAAGAACTCAAGAACTCACTTGGAGTAGGCATCACCAATCAAAGGAAGAACAATTTGAACATGAGTGAGGATAACAACACTGGATTAACACAAATATTTGAGGCTCATAAGTTTTTAATAACATTGAGAAAGCTAGCCCTGGCCATTTTTGCTCAGCGGTTAGTGCGTTGGCCTGTGGATCAGAGTCCCAGGTTCGGTTCTCGCTAAGGGCACAAACATCGGTTGCAGTTTGTCCCTGGCCCTGGTTGGGGTCGTGTGGGTGGCAGTCACTCAATGTGTCTCTCTCTCTTTTCCTCCCTCTTTCCCACCTGCTCTATCTGAAGATAAATGCAAAAAAATATATATATATATAGTCTGCAGGTGAGGAAAAAATTTAAAAAAGAAAGCAAGCTAGAAAACTGCTGTGGCTGGGTGGCTTAGTTGGTTGCAGCACTATCTGGTACACCAGAAAGTTTTGGGTTTGATTCCCGTTTAGGGAACATACCTAGCTTTTGGGTTCAACCTCTGGATTGGGGCATGTAGGAAGGCAACTGATTGATGTTTCTCTTTCACATTTATATTTCTCTCTCTCTCTCAAAAAAGCAAAAAAGCAATAAAAAAAATATCCTCTGATAAGGATAAAACAAAAGCAAGCTAGACAACTAACCCATTATTCTCAAAACTGCCCAATAAACAAAATGAATCAAGCATTTCTCCTGCCTTTCCTATAAGTATACCCTTGGGTAGCTGAGGGCATTCTTTATAGAGATATTTGGCAATCAATTAAGAAAAATTGAATTAGAAAATTTTCATTTTGCAACCCTTAAAGAACTAATGGATCAAGTTATTGACTATCATCAATTCCTAACAAAAAGATAAAGCAACATACATTTGCTTCCTGGTAAGAGAACATTACCACCACCTATGAAGCAGTTTTGCCAAAAATACATAAATAAGATAAAACCTGAATCTATGAAGCCCCAAGATCCAACTACCAATACAGAAAGATACAAAGAACAGAACATGTGAAAAGATACTATAGGATAAATAATACAGGTACTTCCACAAATAAATTATGCTGGGAAAAATGATGAAAGGAGAACCAATGTATTAAGACCAAAGATATACCCAAAACTTGCTAAGGGTAAAAACCTTATTTGGATCCTAAAACTATTTTAAAAGTATATACACTGGCCCTGGTGGGTTTGGCTCAGTGGTTAGAGTAATGGCCCACAGACTGAAGGGTAGCAGGTTCAATTCTGGTCAAGGGCACATACCTGGGCTGCAGGTTAGATACCCGTCCTGGTCAGTGTCATGCAGGAGGCAACCAATCAATGTCTCTCACATTGATGTTTGTTTCTCTCTCTCTCTCTGTCTTTCCCTCTCTCTCTCTCTTTCTCCCCACCTTCGTCCCTCCCACTCTATCTAAAAACCAATGGAAAAAATATCCTCAGGTGAGTATTAAAAAAAAAAAAAAAAAATGACACACTAGATCAGATGGGCTTAAGTGATCATTTCAGAGCATTTAATCCCAAAGCAGCAGAATATACATTCATTTCAAGTGCACATGGAACATATTCTATGATAGACCACATGTTAAGACACAGAACAAGTCTCAATCAATTTAAGAAGAATGAAATCATATCAAGCATCTTTTCTGAATGAAAAACACACAAGCACACTGAGGCTAAATAACAGGTTACTAAACAATGAATGAGTTAAAAATGAAATCACAGAAGAAATCAAAAGATATCTTGAAACTAATGAAAATGAGAACAAAATAACCCCAAATCTATGGGACACAGCAAAAGCAGTCCTAAGAGAGAAATTCACAGCATTACAGGCCTATTTCAAGAAAAAAAGACAAACAAAACAAAATCTAAAATAAACAATCTAACTTTACCCTTAAAGTAACTAGAAAAAGAACCACAAAGCCAGAAGTGAAAAGGAGGGAAATAATCAAGATGAGAACAAAAATCAGTGAAATCGAGTCTTAAAAATCAATACAACGGATCAATGAAATAAAGAACTGATTCTTTAAGAAGATAAACAGGACTGACAAATCTTTAACCAGACTCATCAATCAATCAATCAATAAATGAGAGAGGACCCAAATAAATAAAATCAGAAACGAAAGAGAAGAAGTAACAATTAAAACAAAGAGACAAAAAAATACAAAGGATTGTAAAAAAAATATATATGAAAAACAACTATATGCCAACAAATTGGACAAACTGGAAGAAATGGATAAATTCCTAGAAAGACACAATCATTCAAAATTGAGCCCGGCCGGCATGGCTCAGTGGTTGAGCATCCACCCATGCATCAAAAGGTCGCTGATTCGATTCCCAGGAAGGGCACATGCCCAGGTTGTGAGCCAAATCCCCAGTGGGAGGCATGCATGAGGCAGCCAATCAATGTCCTCTCTCATCGATATTTCTATCTCTCTCTCCCTCTCCCTTCCTCTCTAAAATTAATAAAGGAAAAAAGAAAAAACAAAACAAAACAAAATTGAATCGGAAGGCCTCGGCTAGTTTGGCTCAACGGTTGAAGCGTTGGCCTACGAACCAGAGAGTCCTGGGTTCGGTTCCCACTAAGGACATGTACCTCAGTTGCAGTTTGTCCCCGGCCCCAGTTGCGGTCATGTGAGTGGCAACCAGTGGATGTGTCTCTCTCATGTTGAGGTTTCTCTCTCTCTCCCCCTCACCCTCCCTCCCGCTCTATCTGAAGATAAATGCAAAAATGTCCTCAGGTGAGGATAAAAAAAAAATGAATTGAAAGAATCAGAAAATTGAAGCAATAATCAAAAAACTCCCAACAAACAAAAGTCCTGGACTGGATGGCTTCACAGGGGAATTTTACCAAACATTCAAAGAAGAACTAAACCTATGCTTCTCAAACTATCCCAAAAAATTCAAGAGGAGGGAATACTCCCAAGTTCATTTTACAAGGCCAGCATTTTCCTAATTCCAAAACCAGATAAAGGCACTACAAAGAAAGAAAACTATAGGCTAATATCCCTGATGAACATAAATGCTAAAATCCTCAACAAAATATTAGCAAATTAGATCCAGCAATACGTTAAAAAGATCATACACCATGATCAAGTGGGATTTATTCTGGGGATACAAAGTTGGTACAATACCCACAAATCAATTAATGTGACACACCAGATAAACAAAAGGATAAAAACCACATAATTACATCAATAGAAGCAGAAAAAGCATCTGATAAAACCTAGCACACATTTATGATAAAAACATTCTGCAAAGTGGAAATAGAGGGGACATACTTCAACACAATAAAGGCCATATATGACAAACCCACAGTTAACATCATATTCACTGGGCAAAATCTACAAGTGCTTTCTTTAAGACTGGAAACAAACAGAGACGTCCACTTTCACTACTCTTATTCAACATAGTACTAGGAGTCCTAGCCATAATCAATCAGACAAGAAGAAATAAAAGGCATCAACGTTGGAAAGGAACAAGTAAAACTGTCATTATTTGCAGATGACATGATACTGTATAGAGAACCCTAAAAACTCTACCAAAAAAGTACTAGAACTGATAAATTCAGTCAACTAGCAGGGTACAAAATAAATATGCAGAAACTAGTTGCATTTTTATACACCAGTAATGAACTGTGAAAAAGGGAAACTAAGAAAACAATCCCATTCACAATTACTTCAAAAAAATAATACAACACTTAAAAATAAATTTAATCAAGGATGTAAAAGACCTATACTCGAAAAAGTATAACACATTGAAGACATTGAAGATATAAATAAGTAGAAGCATGAACTGTGTTCATGGATAGGAAGAATTAACACCATTAAAATGTCCATTCCACTCAAAGCAATCTAAATATTCAATGCAATTTCTATCAAGATACCAATGGTAAATTTCACAAAACTAGAACAAATATTCCAAAAATGTATGTGGAACTACAAAAGACCCCAAATAGCCACAGCAATCCTGAGAAAGAAGAACAAAGTTGGAGGAATCACGCTATCCAATATCAAACAAGGCCACAGTAATCAAAACAGCATGGTACTGGCATAAAAACAAACACAGATCAAAAGAACACTGGTTGGTTTGGCTCAGCGGTTGGAGCATCGGCCTGCAAACTAGAGAGTCCCAGGTTCAGTTCCCACTAGGGGCACGTACCAAAATAATAAAGAAATTAAAAACAAAACAAAACAAAAAACTCAGCTGTGATCCTTCCCCGCACTGTTTACTTAACAAAAGAACATAATAGAGAACCCAGAAATAAACCCATGCCTTTATGGTCAATTAGTATTTGACAAAGGAGGCAAAAATATACAATGTGGTAGTCTATTCAATGAATGGTTTGGGGATAATTGGACAGCTATGTATAAAAAAATGAAATTAGACCACCTTCTTACACCATACACAAGAATAAACTCAAATGGATTAAAGATGTAAATGTTAGATGCGAACCTTAAAAATCCTATAAGAATACATAGGCTGTAGAATCTCAAACATTTCTCGTAGCAATATTTCTTCTGATATATCTCCTCTGACAAGGGGAACAAAAGAAAAAATACACTAATGGAACTACATCAAACTAAAAAGTTTTTGCACAGCAAAGTAAACCATCAACAAAGTGAAAAGACAACCCACTGAATGGGAGAACATATTCGTCAATGGTACATCTGATAAGGGGTTAATATCCAAAATTTACTGAAAACTTATAGAATTCAACACCAAAAAAATACTGCAATTAAAAAATGGGCAAAGGACGTGAAGAGACAATTCTCCAAAAAGGACATACAGAGGGCCAGTATGAGCTATCACCTCACACCTGTCAGAATGACTATCATCAGTAAATCAACAAACAAGTATTGGCTAGGATATGGAGAAAAGGGAAGCCTCATGCACTGGTATGAATGCAGATTGGTGCAGCCATTGTGGAAAGTTGTATGGAGTTACCTCAAAAAATTAAAAATGGAACTGAATTATAGCCCAGTGATTCCACTTCTGGGAATTTATCTGAAAAAATCCAAAACACTGATTTGAAAGAATATGTGCACCTCTATGTTCTTTGCAGTGTTATTTACAACAGTCAAGATTTGAAGCAGCCCAAGTGTCCATCAGTAAACGAGTGGATAAAAAGAGCTGGTACATTCACACAATGGAATACCACTCAGCTGTAAAAAGGAAGGACAGAATGGATGGACCTGCAGCATTATGCTAAGTAAAATAAACAAGCCAGAGAAAGACAAGTATCATATGATTTCACTAATATGTGAAATCTTAATGAACAAAAATCATTAAATTGTAGGTTTACAATGGGTAAATGCTATAGTAATTATACCCTAATGTATGCTAACTATATATGATGTATGATAATTATACCCTTAAACTCTAACTAATTAAATAAATAAATTTTGTAAATGTAACTATTTTCAAATTTTGCTGATTCAATAGAGCTGGGAAAGTTAACATATCAGCATTAGAAAAAATATTTTAACATATAAGGTATTTGGTTTATATCACTAGATGAGAAGCCTTAACACAGGCAATTTAACAAGTATTTTAACAATTATGTATTGCAGTTCCTTATTTTCACATTTGTCAAACAAGATTACATTACTCTACAAAAATTCACCATTACCTTAATAAGGGCTTTTTTGGTTAGTTTCTGGTTAACTTCCGGCTTATTCAGTATGTTCTTTGCTCTGTGAGCATATTCCAATGTACTCAAAGTTTCCTGTGATGAAAAGTCCAATTACTAAAGATAATATGACAATGTAGTTCTGTTATCTAAAATGTACTACATAATAATTCATAAAGTAATAATTTATGGTTACAGATAATCTGAATATCTACCTACTAAGACTACTGTATCCAACTTTAAAAAAAAAAAAATTTTTCAAACATCTCTATTTTCCTTCTCTCCAATTTTCAAGGTCTTTAAGTTTATAATAACTTTAGTAATTTTTTACTTTAGGCTTAAAAACTCAGTGAATTAAATCAACTGATGAATAAACAAAATGTCTATACCCATACAATGGAATATTACTTATCCACAAAAAGAAATGTACTGATGCATACTACAACATGGATGAACACTGAAAACATTATGGTAAGTAAAAGAGCCAGTCATAAAAGAACACTTATTGTATGATTCCATATATATGAAATGTCCAGAGTAGACAAGTCTATTAATTAAAACAAATATGTTAGTAGTGACCAAGGGCTGGGAGTCGGGGCAGATGGAAAGTGATTGCTTATGGGTTACAGGGTTTCTTTCTGAGGTGATGCAATATTCTAAACTTAGATTTTGGTGGTGAATATAGTACTGTATGAATTTTATGGACAGGAGAGTTAGAGACCTTATAAAGCTTTTCTAATCCCATTTAAGATAGAGTATTACAGCCCTGGCCGGTTTGGCACAGCGGTTAGAGCGTCGGCCTGCGGTCCTGAGAGACCCGGGTTCGGTTCCCGCTAAGGGCATGTACTTTGGTTGCAGTTTGTCCCCGGCCCTGGTCGGTTATGTGGGTGGCAGCCACTCGATGTGTTCCTTTCACGTCGATGTTTCTCTCTCTTTCTCTGTTTCTCTCTCTCCCTCCCACTCAAATGTCCTCAGGTGAGGATAAAAAAAAAAAAAAGATAGAGTATTACAGTAAGAGTCAATTTTGCCATCTTTGTTGCTTCTTGTGGTTTTCCCAGCTGTACCCACAGACCCAACTACACTAACATTTACTTAACCCACTTCTAAGTTCTCAATTAAATTTCTATACCTCATGTAAACATGCATTGCTAATGATCACAGCAATTTTCTTTGAAGCAACTGGCTTTTTAAGATTAAAATTCTACCAGGATCCCTGGTCGGTTTGGCTCAGCAGTTGAAGCGATGGCCCATAAACAGAAAGGTCTCGGGTTTGATTCCAATCAGGGGCACGTATCTCGGTGCAATTTGATCCCAGGGCTGGGGTCATGCGGGAGGCCACCAATCAGTATCTCTCTCTCACATGGATGTTTTTCTCTCTCTCTCCCATCCCTCCCACTCTACCTGAAAATCAATGGAAAAATATCCTTGGGTGAGGATTCAAAAAAAAAAAACTCTGCCAAGGAAAAAGACATTTTTTTCAGTGGTGCCCTCCTAAATGTATCCATATGTAATGTCCAGATTCTTTCTATTGTAGTACAGAATTAAGCCAATAAATAAACTTTTAAACTAATGTGATAGCAGCCTGGCCAGGCAGCTCAGTTGGTTGGAGTGTTGTCTCGTACACCTATAGGAATTGGGTTCAATTCCTGATCAGGGCACATACCTAGGTTACAGATTCAATACCCAGTCGGGGTGTGTACAAGAAACAACCAATAGATGTTTCTTTCCTTCTCTCTCTCCCCGTCCCTCCCTCCCTCCTTCTGTCTATTAAAAAAAAAGAAAGAAAAGAAAATAATGTGACAGCTAAATAAGAATTACAGCTACTACACTTACAGTTACCTTTCAAAGGGCTTACCTCAAGATTGAGAGATGCAGGTGAAATTGTTGCAATTATAGATGTTCTTGTACGTCCTCCAAGGGAATCCTGGAGGATTCTGGTTAGCTTAGATTCTCGGTAAGGCACATGAGGTGTTCTTTCCACAAGAGCAGTAATTACCCTTCCCAAAGTCAACAGGGATTGGTTGATATTTCCAGCTTCCCGAGCTCTCTTGTCAACTGCTCCAGAACGGCCAATGTTTTCACTTCCTGCAAGATCAACCTTAAATCAAAAAAAAAGGTTGTCAGTTTATTGGATTTAGACTTGAAGACATTCATTTTCATATTATACATGATATGTTAAATAGCCAGCAAAATATTTTTTCTATAATTAATAATCTACTACAAAACTAATAACCCAGTGACTACAAAAATATTGTCTAGAAATACAAAACTTTAGGCTGCTCTATGAAAGGATCAAAAATGAAACAGTAACCCTGGTCAGTGTGGGTCAGTGGTTAGAGTACTGGCCCTCACACCAAATAGTCAAGGGTTCAATTCCTCGTCAAGGACACATACCTGGGTTGCAGCACCAATCCCCGGCCCTGGTCAGGGCACATGAGGGAGGCAACCAATTGATGTGTCTCTCTCACATCGATGTTCTCGTTCTCTCTCTCTTTCCCTCCCTCCCTCCCTCCCCGTCTTCCTCCTTTCCACTCTCTCTAAAAATTAATTGAAAAATATCCTTGGGTGAGGATTAATAAAAACAACAGTAGAATAGAACTACCAATCCCACTTCTGGGTATATATCTGAAGAGAATGAAATCAGTATCTTGAAGAGATAGCACTCTTATGTCCATTGCATTATTCCAAATAACCTAGATATGGAAACAACCTAAGTGTCTGTCAAAGGGATGAATAGATAAAGATGTGGTATACACACACAATGAAATATTCTTCAACCATGAGGAAGGAAATTCTACCACTTACAACAACATGAATGAACCCAGACGACATTATGCTAAGTGAAATAAGCCAAGCAAAGAAAGAAAAAACGATAAATATTGTATGATCAGGGGGGAAAAAAGAAGGTCAAACTCATAGAAACAGAGAGTAGAATGATGGTCATCAGGAAGAGAAGTGGGGGAGTTAGGGAGATACTAGTTAAAGGTAAAAGCCTTCAGTGATAAAGTAAGTTATGGGGATCTGATGTACACTAGAGTACAGTTAAGAGAATAGATCTTAAGTTTTCTCACCAAAAAATATCTATATAAATAATAAACCCTGGCCGATACAGCTCAGTGGTTAGAGCGTAGGTCTGCAGACTAAAGAGTAGCAGGTTCGATTCTGGCCAAGGGCATATACCTCTGTTGTGGTTCGTTTCTGGCGCACGTCAGGGTTGTGCGGGAGGCAACCAGTTGATATGTCTCTCTCGCATGGATGTTTCTTTCTCTCCCTATCTCTTCCTCCCACTCTATCTGAAGATGAATCAAAAAATATCCTTGGTTGCCCTGGCCGGTCTTGCTCAGCGGTTAGAGCCTCAGCCCGCAGTCCCGGGTTTGGTTCCCGCTAAGGGCACATACCTTGGTTGCAGTTTGTCCCCGGCACCGGTTGGGGTCGTGTGGATGGCAACCACTCGATGTGGCCCTTTCATGTCAATGTTTCTCTCTCTTCCTCCCTCTCTCCCTCCCGCTCTATCTGAAAATGCAAAAATGTCCTCGGATGAGGATTAAAAAACAAACAAAAAAAATCCTCAGGTGAGGATTAAAAATGATTAATAATAATAATAATAATGTGAGGTAATGGATGTGTTAAATGTGTTAATCTGATTGTGGTAATCATTTTACAAAGTATATGTAGTATATTAAATCATCATGTTGTATACTTTAAATATATACCTCAATAAAGCTGGAGTATAAAAACAACAAAAATGAAACACTGGTATTAAGGTAAATGCTTACCAAGTTCAACTTTCCAATTTTAACAAGCTCTTCTCCATCAATTGTTGTTTCTTTCATATGAATTGTGACAGAGAAAACTGAGTGGGAACGACTAGAAAACAAGATCAAGTTGCCCAATCATTATAATACAAAATATTATTTGTTTTCTATAAAATATAGAAAACAGCCAATAAAGATCTAAATCCACAAGAGTAAAGAAAGATAGTATCTGTCCTGGCCAAGTAGCTCAGTTGGTTAGAGCGTTGTCCCAACACACCAAGGTTGCAGGTTGAATCCCTGTCAGGGCACATACAAAAATTAACCAAAAGCCCAGCTAGTGTGGCTCAGTGGTTGAGCTTCGACCTATGCACCAAGAGGTGGCTGGTTCGATTCCCAGTCAGGGCATAGGCCAGGGTTGTGGGCTGCATCCCCAGGTAGGGGGCATGCAGGAGGCAGCCAAGTGAAATTGATGCTTCTCTCATAGATGTTTCTATCTCTCTCTCCCTCACCCTTCCTCTCTCTCTAAAAAAAAAAAAAAAAAGTCAATAAAAAACATTTTTAAAAAATCAACCAATGAATGCATATATAAGTGGAACAATAAATTGATGTTTCTCTCCCACCCCCAAAAAATCAATAAATATAAATTTTAAAAAGGAAGAAAGATAGTATCTAACAGGATATATCAATTAGATTTTAGAAGACAGAGGGTTGATAAAGAAATTATTAGATTTCTACTTTCTTACTGCCTATAGGATACAGTAAGAAGCCACCTGAAAACACTCTAAAAGACTCAGGAACTAGACTCCTCAGGCACCTCTGAAAGCTGGATGTGGGGTACAGTTGGGAGAGTTGCCTGGTGTGTCAGAGGGAAGGCTTGCAATCAATCTTCTTATTCATAAGAATCATCTGAAATATGTCATTACCATAAATTCAAACAGCACCAGGCAAGCCATCAGATTATTCCCCACAGTGTCAACTGTTATAAAAGTACACTGCTCTGCTTTAAGAATGTAATCAAAAATAGGTAACTCCTTTCCCTGAACAGCAGAAATAGTAAATAGCAGTGATTAACCAAAGTGTATCTTATGCTACATATTGACATTTGGCTTTTATTTGAAGGATACAAAAATTATACAATCATGCACAGCTTAACAACAGGGATATGGCCCTGGCCGGTTTGGCTCAGCGGTTAGAGCGTCAGCCTGCAGTCCAGAGAGACCCGGGTTCGGTTCCCGGTAAGGGCGCATATCTCAGTTGCAGTTTGTCCCCAGCCCTGGTTGGCTGTGCAGGTGGCAGCCCTCGATGTGTCCCTTTCACGTCAATGTTTCTCTCTCTCTCTCTCTCTTCCTCTCCCTCCCTCCCATTCTACCTGAACAAAAAATGGAAAAATGTCCTCGAGTGGGGATTAAAAAAACATACAAACAACAGGGATATATTCTGAGAAATGTGTCATTATGCAATTCATTGTTATGTGAACATCATAGAGTATACTTACACAAACCTAAATGGTATAGTCAACTATCGTAATTGTATGTGCTGTACTCTTATGCAACTGGAAGCAGAGTAGGTTTGTTTACATCAGCATTACCAGAAAAACATAAGTAATGCTTTAACTCTACATTGGTGATAGCTATGACATTACTATGTGACAGGAATTTTTCAGCTCACTATAATCTTATGGGACCACCGTCGTATATGCAGTCCATCAACAACCAAATGCTGTTATGACTTTATAAGACATCCAAAGACATCTTTCCTTTCTTGTATCAGTGACATTTGGTAAACATCAATGTTTGTTAATGTCACTGATAGTGGGGAATATGGTAATTTTCTTCTTTGTACTTTTCATGTTACTTGAAAAATTTTACAATAAACATCATTTTTACAAAACTTAAATTACTTAAAATTACCAAAAAGGGGACAGGAACAAGAAAAATATAAACATAAACTATAAATCTAAATCATAATATACATTTCATGTTTTCTACCATTATTTACCCATTCCCAATCTAAGACTGTGCAATTATTCCAATTAAGCATAGCGGTCAACTCTGATTTTGAAAATTTTGATTGCCTTCCTTCTCTTTATAATATACATTCATAAAGAGATCTTTACTCCAGTCTACATATTAAATGGAGACCCAAATTATACAAGTTTACAATAGGAATTTTTAAAAACTTTTTATTTTTGAGAAAGAGAGAAGAAGGGAGCGGGAGAGAGAGACATCAATCAGCCTACTCCTGTAAATGCCCCGAATGGGGAATCGAACCCATAACCCACAATGTGCCCTGGCCAGAAATCAAACCAGCCACCTTTCAATGCACAGATGACACCCAACCAACTGAGCCACACCAGCCAGGGCCAAAATAATAGAAATTTTCTTTTTCAGAGAAGAGAAATTTTACTTAGCCTTAAATTCATTCCTCCGAATCCTATATAAAATTAAGTAACATAACATTAAGAATGAAAATTTCATTTTATGATTGATTTATAACTCATTTTAAAAATGAAAAGCTATTATAGGAAATTTAAATAAAATTATAATATCACCTGTAATTCCATATTTTAATTATGTTAATGTTTTTTCCTTTAAATGCATACATATTTTTAAAGTTGCAACTATAATTATTTATAAAACTGCAATTATAACTGTTGAAACTTTCAATGATAAGAGAGCAAAGAAATAAGAGATCTAGCCCTAATAATCATTTTGTAGCTCAGGGAAACGGATATTCAGATAAGTTTACTTATTTACTGACCCAAAGTCACATATTTAATTAACTAAAGAACTGGAACTAAACACAAATACCTAATTCTCAACCCATAGCTCTTTCAATTACACTCTGACGTTTCCTTCCAAGACAAACAGGAAAAATGTCACTTCTAACTCAGTAAACTGCATTTGTAGAATTTAAGATTCAGCCTATAGAGGGCACTATCAAAAATGCCTCTTTTTCCTCCTCGAAATTCACTTAGTGATCATCTGTCATTCTACATTAAAATGAAGTCAGTTGAAAAAAAAATGTTGTACAACCTAAATACATACAATTTTGTTCACTGTACCTAAATAAAGGTGAAAAAAGTAAAATAAAGTCTTGACTTTCTTCTAATCCTTACTCAAACAAACCAAGGGTCATCAAACTGTGTTCTAAGGATACACACTGGGCCCTGGCCAGTTTGGTTCAGCGGCTAGAGTGTCAGCCTGCGGTCCAGAGAGACCTGGGTTCGGTTCCCACTAAGGGCACGTACCTCAGTTGCAGTTTGTCCCCGGCCCTGGTTGGGTCATGCGGGTAGCAACCACTCAATGTGTCCCTTTCACGTCAATGTTTCTCTCTCTCTCTCCCTCCCACTCTATCTGAACAAAAAATGGAGAAAATGTCCTCGGGTAAGGATTGATTAAATAAATAAATAAATAAATAAGATACACATTGGCTTCAGAAAAGTGCCCAGAGTAAAACTTCTTAAGGCCAAGGAGATAAGCCTCTGAGAATTCCATCCCCAAATAAATAAATAAATAAATAAATAAATAAATAAATAAATAAATAAATAAGATACACATTGGCTTCAGAAAAGTGCCCAGAGTAAAACTTCTTTTTTTTTTTTTTTTTTTTTATCCTCACCCGAGGACATTTTTCCATTTTTTGCACAGATAGAGAGGGAGGGAGAGAGAGGAAGACAGAGAGAGAGAGAGAGAGGGAAACATCGATGTGAAAGGGACACATCGAGTGGCTGCCACCCGCACAACCAACCAGGGCTGGGGACAAACTGCAACCGAGGTACGCGCCCTTAGCGGGAACCGAACCCGGGTCTCTCCGGACCGCAGGCGGATGCTCTAACCGCTGAGCCAAACCGGCCAGGGCGAGTAAAACTTCTTAAGGCCAAGGAGATAAGCCTCTGAGAATTCCATCCCCAAATCAACTATAGGAGCCATCTGGACTCCCATGTACAGTTCATTTGGGGAAAAAAATTACTTAAAAATAGTGTAATGCTTTTGATCTAGTTCAACTTGTCTTTGTTCTCCTTTCAGCATTCTTTCAATATTGGTGCTTCCCTATAAATCTCAAACCAGTTACTAAGGCACACAATCTAGCACAGAGTCTAGATATGTGATTCACATACTTTGACCCACCCCAATTCAACTTCCTCCAAGTTCATAATTCTTTTTTTTTTTTAATTGTTTTTTTTTTATCCTCACCCGAGGACATTTTTTGTTCAGGTAGAGTGGGAGAGAGAGAGAGGAAGATAGAGAGAGAGAGAGAGAGAGAGAGAAACATCAACGCGAAGGGACACATCGAGTGGCCGCCACCCGCACGACCGACCAGGGCCGGGGACAAACTGCAACCGAGGTACACGCCCTTAGCGGGAACCGAATCCAGGTCTCCCGGGACCGCAGGCCGATGCTCCAACCGCCGAGCCAAACCGGCCAGGGCCATAATTCTTTTTTTTTAATCCTCACCCGAGGACATTTTTCCATTTTTTGTTCAGATAGAGTAGGAGGGGGAGAGAGAGAGAGAAACATCGACGTGAAAGAGACACACTGAGAGGTTGTCACCTGCACGACCCAACCAGGGCTGGGAACAAACTGCAACTGAGATACGTGCCCTTAGCAGGAACTAAACCCGGGTCTCTCTGGACCACAGGCCAACGCTCTAACCACTGAGCCAAACTGGCCAGGGCCAAGTTCATAATTCTTAAAAAGAATGTGGAGCATGAGGGAGACAATAGCTTTCTTACCTAGAGTATGCATTCATTAATGTTGCTGCAGTTGTCCTTTTTGCTGCTCCCTTCTCCAAAATTTGATAAACTTCATCCTTGTTGTGTACTGTAATTTCTTCTAAGCCTTTGATTATCACTCCCCTCTGATCAAATATTTTTTTAAAAAGCACACATTAAATTGGTTAACACACACACAGACTTCTCAAAACATCACACATTGAATTTGCAGATATTCCATTCTCAAAGACTGAGTTACCTTGTTACGGGGATCATCAAACATCTGTAGTCTCTCAGAAACATCAGAAGATGGATTAAGGAGATCAAAAAGTTCTTCATTATAGATTTCCAACAGAGACACTTTGACTGAAAATTCAGTACCATTAGCAGTAAGTTTCTCAAAAATTTGATGAAGAGTACGTGGAATTATACCAGCCAAAGGATCCTGAAATTGTAATATTAATAAGGACTAAAATAAAGGAAGAATGGCATTTACTGAGGCAATTAAAACACATATAACAAGAGCCTCCATTATAGTATATTTAAATGTCAAAGCAAGTTAAAAAAAACAAAAACTAACCTGTTAGAAAACCCAAGTCATTTACCACAGTCTATTAAATAGTTATTATTCTTCATACCTTCCACTAATTTGCCATGCATGCCAGATATTTTATGCCTGAGCATTACACAAAAACCAAATGAACCAAGCTACTTATAAAGCAAGTTCAATAATTCTAACTTTTCTCATGAGTACATAATACCACCATTTTAATCAGAAAAATGGCCCATTAAAAGTAATTCTGACATAAACAGGATTGTTTCTCAAATGTTTCAGTATCCTTAATAAAACTGTTGTGAATCCCTAAATTTTGAAACTGGGCCTTAAGCCTAATTCCATATCTTCTACAGTTACAATTCCATAACTTTATTATCCATGCATAAATTTAAAGTCTCAACTATGTAACCTCTACGAAAAAAGGATCTACCTAAATGTTAATAATTTGAAAACTGACCTATTCATTAAATTCATTGAAACATTTGGCGAAAATCTTTATGAAATGTACTATTTATTCTCTACAATATTCAACAATGCAGTAACCTTAATTTCTTGAACACTCAAGTGGATCATTAATAAAGTATCATACTGCCCCTTGCTATGCTAACTTTATAAGATTCATTCCCTCACTGCAAAGTATTCCCCTTTAACCCCACTCACATTCCACTTTTCCACAATATTCTGCTTCAACTATTCTGTCCCAAACAGACCCCTCTCTTATTATTTAACTGTACCATATGTATTGGTCCAGTCTCTCCCAATGAGACTATGTTTCTTAAACAGAAGCCATATCATAGACTTTAATTTTTCTATAATAGTAGTTAATCATAAACTCCTGTTTAACATAGGTATTCTTCTCTATTTCAAGACAAAGTCCTTTAACTAAATTTTATTCAGATACATTTCAGCCACTTTAGAGACAGAAGTCTGTTATAAGCAACAAATACCTCCTCCCAAGTATACTCTTCATTAGGTGATCTTTCACCTTCCATTGTAAAGGTTTTTCCAGTGCCAGTTTGGCCATATCTGTCAAAATTAAAAGAAATGTTAAATAAAAAACAAACATATACACCTAAACCTTTTCATCAATTTGAAAAGTAATGTTTCACTTACGCAAAAATAGTGCAATTATAGCCCATAATAACTTCATCTAGAATTGGACAAACAATACTTCGATAAACTTCTATTTGTTTAGTAGATGCTCCAAAAACCTATTAAAAAAAAAAAAAATCAAGATGGAGGTGGGCAGAAGGGGAGGGGAGGGATGGGGAAAGCTATAACAGTGTCAACAATAAAAATAAAGTTAAAAAAAAAAAAAATCAAAGCATTTCTTGAAGAAAAAAATTTTTAATTATCCACTTTAATAAATTTATTTTTAAAATATTAACTCATTCAGCCCACTAGAAACAACTGACCACTGAGAGTCAACTGAAATTTGTCACTGTACACTAGAACCTAGAGTAAATATGTTTACTAGGATAACTTTACATTAGTGAATAACAAAGAAGTAGCAGTATTTTAAGAAGTACCATATCAAAAGTATATGTTTTCCTTGAGCTCTTGTCGGCCAGTCCTCCAGTTCGTACACTAACTTCTTTTCGTACATGATCACATTCCACAACAGAATGGGCGCTAGCTTTCCGCTCTGCCAAATTAAATGGTCTATAAGAAGAAGTATATAATGTTATTCAAGAATTCTTAGTTATCATGTTACTGATGACATTTTCATCAATACCTTACACAAGAACAATGTGACATTTTGACTACACTGTTGGTGATGGGGACTAAATGATACTGTTAAAGCAGACAGAATTTTAAGGGTTTCAATTTCCAGAAATAAAATCAGTTTTCTTACTTTTCAAAGAAATGTAAAACATTACAATTCTGACAGTTTCTTGGAATAAATGATAACAGAATTAACTTGCAAAATATGCCAAACTTGTTTTTCAGAATTCTATTTGCACTATTCTTAGAAACTAATCAAGTTAGGTTATGATGTAGTCAAAAGAACATGCCAAATTTTTGTCCAAATTACAAACCTGCCACTGGATAAAAAACAGATACAAAAAATGACAAATAGGTAGAGTCCTTGCTATGTGCCAGGTACTCACTGTTCCAAGTGCTGTACATGTGTTAACTCAGTTTGTCCTCACAGCACTGTGAGGTCTACTGGAGAATAGTGACATAAAACAAATGATTATGAGAGGTTATGTTTAGAAAGGGTATATAAAGGGTACTGTTAGGAACATACAGCAAAGATTTAATACGGTCCTGACTGGGACAGGGCAGGGTGGAGGAAACATGTGTGATGGCAAAGACTTCCTGAGGAAGTAATCTTCTAAGCTAAATTCCTCCTTAGGCATGTCAGTACAGTGAAGACTCTAATCCAGTCTGCTTAAGCAATGTAGCACTTTGTAACTGTTTCCTCATTTGAAAAGTAGGGTTAGTAATATTGACAACCATTGTAATACCAACCAACCAGCAATGTAGAGAAAGAAATTCTGTTCAGTTTATTGTTTTCCCAGTGCCTGCCACTGTGCTTAGCACCTAGTAAGCACTCAAACATCTATGAACTACACGCTTAATAAATGTCACCCTAGGGGAATGATGTAAAAGCTAAAAACAAAAAACACAAAAGCCCATAGTCCAGGGAGAGATGTACTCTTTTTTTTAAAGAGAGGAAAGATTTTTTTTTTCCTTTTATTGATTTTAGAGAGAGAAAGGGAGAGGGAGAGAGAAATAGAAACATCGATGAGAGAGAACATCGACTGGCCGCCTCCTGCATGCCCCCTGCTGGGGATTGGATCCACAACCTGGGCATGTGCCCTGACCACTGATCCACACCAGCCGAGTAAGAGATGTACTCTTGACCGGAGTTCTTTTTCCCAATGAATATCACATATACGGAAAGACATGCCAAAGACATGTCTCATCACTAGACAATCCAGGTTGCTATTTATTTTAAGAAGGATACTTCAATGTGCTCTAACATGCCTCACTCCCAAATTTGTGATCCCAGGAGAACTCAGCAACTCCCAGGTACTATCTGGTAATGCTGTCATTTGCCAAATGTACTCAAATCTAAACAATGCACATAATCCACAGCATGCATTATTAGAAGTTCGACAAAACTAAGTCAAAACCAACTTATACTCAGGTAGACCAACAGTATAATAAAGTAGAATGAATTCTCATGTGCTTAAAGCTTTTCCAGCCTGGCCGGTGTGGCTCAGTGGATTGAGCTTCGTCCCATGGACTGAGAGGTCCTGGTTCAATTCCCAATCAGGGCACATGCCAGGGTTGCAGGCTTGATCTCCTGTAGGGGGTATGCAGGAGGCAGGCGATCAATGCTTCTCACTCACATTGATGTTTCTATCGTTCTCTCCCCTCCACTCTCTCTAAAATACCAATAAAACATATAAAAACAAAAAACTTTTCCAATTACTCTACTGTTCCTAGCAACCCTAAACTAATCGCTAGCCTGGATATGTGATTAAGTTACCAAATGAATACCATTCAGGTTGTCAGGACAGAGTAGAACTTCACACAGATCACATATTCCTGGAAGTTATCAAAACTCCCAGAGAGGAGCTTTAGGTACTATTTGTATTTTAAAAAAAGAGAGAGTACTGACAAGCCACTGTTTTCCTATTCTGATTGGCAATCGCTAAGTTTCTATTCATGACACTAATAAACCCATCAATTTCTTGACCTAACTAGTGTTATATTAAAATTCAAACGACCACTCTGGCAGGGAGTCTCAGTTGGTTGGAGTATTGTCCCATACACCAAAAGGTTGCAGGTTCAATTCCCAGTCAGGCGCATACCTAAGTTGCAGGTTCGATCACTGGTTGGGGCATGAACGGGAGGCAACTGATCAATGTTTCTCTCTCTCTCTCCCTTCCTCTCTTAAAAAAAAAGTCAATGAACATATCCTCAGATGAGGATTTAAAATAAAGACAGCCCTGGCCAGTTTGGCTCAGTGGCTGGAGCGTCGGCCTGCAGACTAAGAGTCCTGGGTTCGGTTCCTGCTAGGGGCACATACCAAAAAATAAATAATAAAATAAAAAATAATAAAATAAGACAAACAAAAGAAGTACAAATTGGCAGTTATAAAATAGCCACAAGGATATAGAGTTCAGCATAGGAAATACAGTCAACAATATTGTAATAACTATGTATGGGTACTACATTTATGGGGGGATACTTCGTAAGTTATATAAACATCTAACCACTATACTGTACACCTAAAACTATTATAATATTAAATGTCAACTGTAATTGAAAAATGTTTCCCAAAAAAAAGAGGGGAAAAAAGTCCTGTCCTGTGGAAAAATTGCTAAATGTATTCATTCATCCCATAAACATTCGTGAAGTACTTATTACGTGATAGGTATATCTTTCTAGGCACTTGGGATATAGCAGTGATCATAACCAAGCTTCAGGAAAAAAAGACAACAAACATCCAGATCCTGTTCTCAGGGAGCTTTTATCCTAGTGTGTGTGTTGTTGGGGGTGGTGATCATAAGGAAGAGATGACAATCAAGTAAATACATTAGTTGCTGGTAAAGTTTAAATAAGTAAATAAATAAACAAATAAAGCAGACCAGGGGATAGGAAGTGATAAATGGTTGCTATTGTTATTTTAGAGCGGTCAGGGAAGGCTTCTCTGATAAAGGTGATATTTAAGCAAAATATATATGGAGAGAGAGCCAGCCATATAACTATTTTGGAGGAAAAATCTTCCAGCCCTGGCTGGTTTGGCTCCATTGATTGGGCTTTGTCCTGTGCACCAAAAGATTGCTGGTTGGATTCCAGGTCAGGGCACATGCCTGGGTTGCAAACTCAATCCCTGGTAGGGGGCATGCAGGAGGCAGCCAAGGAATAATCTATTCTCACATCAATGTTTCTCTCAATCTCCCTTCCCCTCTCTCTAAAAATCAATAAAAAATAAAATAAAATAAAGGTTTCCAGGCAGAGAGAAATTGCAGAACCCACAAGGTAGAGAATGGTAGATGTGTTTTTAAAAATGTGCATCCAACCAGTGTGGTACAGTGGTTGAGCGTCGACCCATGCACCAAGAGGTCGCAGGTTTGATTCCCAGTCAGGACACATGCCCAGATTGTGGGCCCAATCCCCAGGGGGGAAATGCAGGAGGCAGTCAATCGATGTTCTCTCTCATCGATGTTTCTCTCTCTCTCTCCCTCTCACTTCCTCTTTCTGTAAAATCAATAAAGGAAAAAAAAATGTGTGTGAGGCTCTGGCTGGTTTGGTTCAGTGGCTAGAGCATTGGCCCAAGGACCAGAGTCACAGGTTCAATTCTGGTCAAGGGCACGTACACCTCAGTCGCTGTTCACTTCCCGAGCCCTGGTCAGGGTCAAGGGAGAGGCAACCAGTCAATGTCGACATTTCTCTCTCTCTCTCTCTCTCTCCCTCCATCCCTCCTTTCCTTCCTCCCACTCTATCTGAAAATCAATAGAAAAATATCCTTGGTTGGGGATTAAAAATAAATTTCTTTTTAAGTGTGTGGGGGCAGGGGAGTTGGGGGGGAATCAGAAAGGTAGCTAGAAGCTAGATCATATAGAGATTTATAATAACCTTCAACCTGTGGGCCAAGTCTGGCCCTTGTCTTGCCAAAGAACAAGTTTTACAATTTTAAAGGGTTGTTCAAAAAAAAAATCGTTACTGGGTGTTTGACTGTGGCAGCAGGAGCAGCAGCAGCAACAACAGCACACTGGCAGATTCATTCCCTACTTAGAACCTCAAACAATGGACCACACAATGTCTTCCTGATTTCAGGTAAAAAATGTCCAGCAAAACAAGCAAGCACAACATAGCCCAGGCAAGAACTACTATGCAGCAGTTATGATTAGAAGCCTCCAGTAAGGCAGTGAAGATTTCAGCGGCACCACAGACCTCATGTCCTACTGTGAGGAGTATGCCAGGAATGATATTTTGCTGATAGAGTACTAACTACAGAAAACCTTTTCAAGGATAAAAACAAAGAACAAAAAACCACTGCATCATAGTATAGTGGAACAGTCTCTTCTCAACAAAGCAAATTATAAGCAGCTCTTCGAAGATTTACCTTCAGCTTATTTGTAACCACTGCTAATAAATAAAATGTTCTTAACTTGGAATAATGAACTCTGAAGTCTTTATTTTCCAAGTTGTCCTTTCTCTAAAATATCCTTTACTGATTTAATACAGAATCACAATTTTGTTTTCCATTTGGTAACTAATATCATATTGGGTTACTGTTTAAGAAAAATTGGGCCCTGGCCGGTTTGGCTCAGCGGTTAGAGCGTCGGCCTGCAGTCCAGAGAAAAATTGGTCTGGGCCTTTTTAAAAATACAATTATATACTTTAAAATATATGAATTAATTCAGATGTGTTAACATCTAAACTGTCTAAGCACTTGTTTAGATTAAAATGGCAAAAATAACTTAAAACCTAAAACTTTTATATCATGTTCTTAATAGGGTTTGTGCCAACATGTAGAATATACAAGGGGAAGGGGGTGTTTTGTGTGTGTCTTTGTACCAAAGCCATTTCCTTACTAAAATTTCTCTCCATGCCATCAGTTCCTCAGTTCCATTATAACTTTATCTTGGGATATTTAAAGGTAGAATAAAAACTTCTTTTCAGCCCTGGCCGGTTTG